CTTACAACTACCCACGAACCGCCAAGCACACTCTAAACTAGGATGACCCTTAAAACCCTCTGAAAAAAATCCTGAATTAATATGATCCTCTTAAGCTCAATAAGGGAAGAGACAAAATGTCCCAAGCGCCTGCCGACCCTAAACCCTAAACCTTAAACCCTAAACCCTACACCCCTAAACCCTAAACCCTAAACCCTAAACCCTAAACCCTAAACCCTAAACCCTAAACCCTAAACCCTAAACCCTTCTTCTGGGGTGGGGCGGTATGGCTTCCTATCTTGAGGGGTCTGGGAGTCCCTTAAGGGTTTCGGAGTCCCTTAGGCGGTGACTTCCTTAGCTATGGGACCCGAAGCTTCTCATGCCGACCTTCCCCGCGCTCCCCACTGCTACTGTTTAGGGTTTAGGGTTTAGGGTTTAGGGTTTAGGGTTTAGGGTTTAGGGTTTAGGGTTTAGGGTTTAGGGTTTAGGGTTTAGGGTTTAGGGTTTAGGCTTCAGGCTTTAGGGATTAGGGTTTGGGGTTTGGGGTTTAGGGCTTAGGGCTGCTGTTTTGAAAAACTCAATGCCCCAACTCCCCCCACCCACTCCCCCCATCCCACCTTTCCCCCTCATCTAACGTCGCAACGCCTTCGGTCCGAAGGAGGTCCACAAAAGCCCGAACAACAACATCCCTGAAGCTTGGGGCCAAGGGTTTTGGGGTTTAGGGTTTAGGGTTAGCCCTGAGTCCCCCACATGCCTTGAGACCCTCAAGCACCTTGAGCACCCCGAAGCCCAACATCGCCTTAAGCCATCTTAAGCCCTCAGTTACACCAGGCCCTAAACAGAATTTACCTTTAAAACCCTAAAAATCTTGGGGATGCCTCCGCACTAACAGTCCTTAATAGGGATAAAAGTGCCCCCCCCCCCCCCCCCGATGTGAATCCCGATGAAGTACTGTTAGTTTAAGGGGGAACATCCCAACCAGGGTTTAGGGTTTAGGGTTTAGGGTTTAGGGTTTAGGGTTTAGGGTTTAGGGTTTAGGGTTTAGGGTTTAGGGTTTAGGGTTTAACCCTAAACACATCCCAAGAGGCCAGCGGGACCTCGCGCATGTTGAGCCGTGCCTGGTAGCGCTGAGGACGCAGGCTTCACCCCTTTCGGGCTCAAGGTATTAACTATTAGGGTTTAGGGCTTAAGGATAATTATGAGGTTTTGAGTTCAAGGTGCTTACGGTTTAAGGTTTATGGCATAAGGTTGCTTAGGATGTAGGGTTTAGGGCTAAAGGGTATTTGGGCATAAGGACATTTAGGGTTTAGGGTTTAGGGCTTAAGAAGTTTTAGGGTCTTAGGCAATTTAGGGTTAAGGGTTAAGGGTTTGGGGTTAAGGTTCTACGATAATTCCCGGTGTTGGGCTTAGGGCTTGAGATTCCTTAAGATTTAGGGTTTCGGGCGTCTAGGGCTTTCGGCCAGCTTTGGAATTTCTTCCTGTGGACGTAACTTTTCGAACTTAAAACAAAAACATAATTGAAATGAATTAACAGAGCTCAACTGCAGTCGTCCCCACGAAGGTTCTTGGGGACCGACATCTGCGAGGCGAGGCTACACTGAAGCTTGCACCATAAATCCAACTTGGACCTCAATCAACGCTAAACTCTACATCCTAAGACCGAAAACAGCTCTAAGCTCTAAACAATAACAAGCCTAGACCCGGAGCATTCTAGAGACACCTAGATGTATCCTCACAAAATGCTGGACATGTGCCAATAATTAACTTGCGTGTTGGCTTTCCCGTTTTTGCAGGGTATCTAGATGATGTGTGTATGTGACGCATGGGCCTAAAGAACTTACTGGTGCTCAGTAAGGAAAGAGGGAATGAGAGGTGCCCTATATCTTCCCTTAAAGGGCTGTCAATAAGGAACACGAGGTACCTAGTTTCCTCGTCATTCCCTTTTCAGAACCTAAACCCTAAACTCTAAACCCTAAACCCTGAACCAATAGGAAGAATGTCTCCGCAACGTGCCTCCTCCTCTTCCCTGGCGACGGCGGCCGCCCGCTCGCGCAGCATCGCCGCGGCATCTGCGGCTGTGCTGGGGGTTTTGACCTGCCGAGCTTGGTGTTTCAGGGGAAGGGCAAGGGGTTTAGGGCTTCAAAATGGTAACCCTAACCCCGAATCCCTAGGCCCTAAACCCTATCATTCCTGGACCCACAGAAGACTCGGGTTCATCATGTGGCTGAGGGTTGAAACAAGTTACAGGCGCCCTTGAATTGCCGAAAAATCTGAAGGGTACTGAAGCAGAGATGCTCACATGTGCCCGCAGTTTAGATCCCCTTCTTCCCGGCTCCCACCCTAAACCCTAAAACACCACATCGCCACAACAGTAAAACCTATAACCCTAAACCCTAAACACCACATCGCTACAGCACTATAACCAGGGTTTAGGGTTGTTTCATGAGGGTTCAGAGCATCGGCATCATCCTATTCAACAATTGGGGCTTAAGTCGGGATGTTCCCCATACAAACAGGCTCCTTAATAGGGATTCTAGTACCCTAAACCCTAAACCCTAAAGACTAAACCCTAAACCCTAAACCCTAAACCCCTAAACCTAAACCCCTAAACCCTAAACCCTAAACCCTAAACCCTAAACCCTAAACCCTAAACCCTAAACCCTAAACCCTAAACCCCCCACCCCCCCCCCCCCCCCCCCCCCCCGATGATGATCCCTATTAAGGACGACTGCGAGTAGAAGGGGGAGCATCCCAAGGCTTAGGGTTCAGGGTTTAGGGTTTAGGGTTTAGGGTTTAGGGTTTAGGGTTTAGGGTTTAGGGTTTAGGGTTTAGGGCTTAGGGCTTAGGGTGAGGGATTGTAGTACCCCCCTATTATCATCCCTGCTTAGGACGGCTAGTATAAGGGGAACAGGGTTCAAGATTCTTTGTTCATCACACATCCCGAACTCAGGGGGTGCCACCAAAACCAGACGGTGCCCAGACAGCCTCCGTGGCCGGGACTGCAGCCGGCTGGAACATCATCCTCGTGAGGTATAGGGGTGTAGGGTGTAGGGCTCGGTTTTAGGGTTAGGACTAGGTCTTAGGGTGTAGGGTGTAGGGTTTAGGGTTTAGGGCTTCTAGGTTTTGCCTGGGCCCCTCTTTACCTACAGTTTTATGGGTTATACCTACTAATTAAGGGTGGTTACTACTAAACTGTAGGAAAATAGAGGCCCAGGTAGGGTCTGGGGTCTACGGCTTTGTAGGCTTGTAGGTTTTAGGGGCTTTGTAGGGTATAGGGCAAAGGACTTTATAGGGCTTGTAGGCTTTAAATGAACAAGGCCTCTAGGAGGGCTTAGAAGGTGTAGAGTGTGTTGAGGTTGCTTGGGGTTTTCCCGGTTGGACAAGTACTTCGCAACGCCTTTGCGCAACTTCATACTCCTGCTTGGAGGTTCAGGGTACCTAGTAACCCAACAGCAACTGCACTTCTGACCCAACTACAATTACAAGGCACCCTTTAAATGAGATCCCAAAAAGGGACCCTGAGAACTACCCATAGGTGGCTGAGAAGTGGGTGACATGTACCCCTGAACCTCCAAGTAGGAGGAATAAGCTCTACACCCTAGAAAGCCGAAGCCATGCTTCCCAAGTAGCGAAACTAAGGTTTAGGGTTTAGGGTTTAGGGTTTAGGGTTTAGGGTTTAGGGTTTAGGGTTTAAGGTTTAGTTTGCTATAGGAGAACTGCCTCTATGAACTGGAGAAGACTCCCAGCCTTAAGCCAGAAACGCATCGAGTTTGGACGATTTGGGTGTATAAACCCTAAACCTAAGCCCCAAACAATCCAGATCCTATGCTCGCGGCCCTAAAACCCTGAAACCCTGAACTCGAGATCCTCAGCCCTAAGTCCCAACTTTACTAAACCCTAAACCCTCCTAAACCCTAAACCCTAAACCCTAAACCCTAAACCCTAAACCCTAAACCCTAAACCCTAAACCCTAAACCCTAAACCCTAAACCCTAAACCCTAAACCCTAAACCCTAAACCCTAAACCCAAGCAACCGAAACCGTCAGCCAAGGAGCGACTGGCCGAGGCAGCCTTCGGCTTTCAAGGCCTGATGTGCATTGGGCGAACGAGGGCGAAGACCGGGGTTTAGGGTTTAGGGTTTAGGGTTTAGGGTTTAGGGTTTAGGGTTTAGGGTTTGGGGTTTAGGGTTTAGGGTTTGGGGTTTAGGGTTTGGGGTTTATGCTTTAGGGTTAGCGGGGAGGGTGGCGGGAGGGGGGGGGGGGGGGCGGTCGGGCGGAGGGAGGAACCTGCAACGTGAATGGGTTTAGGGCCTTGGGGTTTATGGCTTTGACAATAGCAAACAGTGCTGGGCTTGGCAAAATGGCCCGTGCCCCTAAACCCGAAACCCTAAACCCTAAACCCTAAACTCTCTTTGATCTTGTCCAGGCTTGCGGCTGTAATGCAGAGAGACTGCTGCTTCCACACCCGAACTTCTAATTCCCAAAACTTCTGCCCTGACTACCCAAGACCTACAAGTAAGTTTGAATCCCACCCTAAACCCTAAACCCTAAACCCGAAACCCTAAACCCCAAACCCCCAGATTTAGGAGATTAAGTCTCCCAAATATATACCCTAGGATCCACGTACCTCAGTATTGTATACTTGGGCCCCAATGTCCCTATGTAGCAAGTACTTTAAGGTCCAAGTCTTTCCAATTGAGGAACATGGAGCCGGCTCAGCCTCCCTACACCTTAAACCCTAAACCCTCCAACCCTCAACCCTAAACATTTAGGGAAACAGCTGCCTCGAGTCGCTTCTCCAGCTCCTGGACGTCCCTGACCTCGTCGCCCGCGAAGCCCAAAACCTTCGAGCAGTTCTGCTTGGAGTCTTGGGGACTGGGGATTTAGGGTTTAGGGTTTAGGGTAGCTGTAGCTGTTCTACACGAATCCGGAAAGCAGTAGATGGGACCATGATTTACTGTAAACCTTTATCAATTTATGAAGGATTCATTAGGGTCCCCAGAGGTAGTCGTACTCGACTCTTCAATGCTCGCAGGGCCTGGTTTCTAATGAATTTCGCATCGGTCGGGTCGACCGCAGAGGATAACCCTAAATTCACAGCCCTATAGATTGGGATGCTCGCCATTATACTAACAGCCCTTCATAGGGATTATAATCGGGGGTACAATAATCCCTATTAAGGACTGTTAGTATAAGGAGGAAAGTCCCAACCTACAGACCCTAAAGCCCTACAGACCGTATACCTATAGACCCTAAACCCTAAACCCTAAACTTCCCTAAGCCCTAAACTCTAAACCCTAAACCCCAAAACCTCTACAGACCCTAAAGCCCTACAGCCCCAACCCTAAACCCTAAACCCTAAACCCTAAACCCTAAACCCTAAACAGCCCCAATACCTAGGACTGCTTATTGGGCCCGAGGGACTTAGGGCTGACTTGGCTTCCAGGCTTGCGGGTAAGCGGTGAGGCCTACCTCAGGCCCCCTCAAGAGTCGGTTTGGCAACTTAGGGTTTAGGGTTTAGGGTTTAGGGTTTGGGGTTTGGGGTTTGGGGTTTGGGGTTTGGGGTTTGGGGTTTGGGGTTTGGGGTTTGGGGTTTGGGGTTTGGGGTTTGGGGTTTGGGGTTTGGGGTTTGGGGTTTCGGGTTGGGCTGTTCCCCCTTATCCTAACCGTCCTTAATCGGGATTATCGTGCCCCCCATTAGAATCCCTATTCAGGGCTGCTAGCAGAAGGGGGAACATCCCAAGGTTTAGGGTTGATCCTCATCTTGGTAGCCTAGAAAATTTACACCACAAGAAGGGTAGACAATCGGGTTAATTTAAGGGCCCCTAAACCCTTAAACCCCTAAACGCCCTAAAGACCCTGCAAACCCTAAAGCCTAAACCCCCAAAAGGCGGGCCATGGTCTAGGGTTTGGGGTTATGGCGAGATGTCATCATACAACGTCTTGCCCCGATACGAATTCAAGACCTGTTGAAGAAGAACATATCCACAAGAGAGCAAGCGTGGACCATTGCTGCAATCTGATTTGCTAAAGTGTCCGCCAAGGGAGGGAAGGTGAATTTCGTCATGAATCTCGTGTCGGCAACATCCTGATCTACAACGAGACAAATAAATCAATGTGTGCGGCTGATTCTCTGACAGCCCATCGTTTGTCTTTGGACAGCGAATGGACTGCACGGTGCAAACGGCACATTGAATTCTCCAGCTTGGTGTTGGCTGACGGGCTTTTTAGAGCATTCCCAGCCAAAAAACCACCGAACACAACGCCCGAAGAGTTCTTGGTACTCCAATTCAGGCCAGCACACCATGATCGGGGAATCCAACATCAATCGCGGCTGGTTCCTTCCAGCCCAGCGCCGTTGCGATATCGCTCAAGGCCTTCAGGATGCCTGTGTTGTCTCTTTCACGGGTTAGAATTCCTGGGAGACCAAACTTTTGACCAGCGTTTCCGAGCTTGATCTTCATCTTCCCTAAACCCTAAACCCTCTCCCCAAACCTACGACATGCTCATCCTGCCCCCCCCCCCCCCCCGCGCAAATCCTCCGAACCCTTAACTTACGGCCCCTAAACCGTTAAAGCCCTAAACTCCTAAACCCCTGCTTGGAGGTTCATGGGTAGTCATAAGTAGGGTTACTACATGAGCGCCAAAACTACGGCTGTAGCTCGAGTTCTCCTACTTACAACCCTGCTTATAACTACCAGGCAAACCCCTACAACCAAAACCCAATTGGGGGTTTCATATTAGGGGGAGGGGGTTAGCAACCCTAAACCCTAAACCCTAAAAACCCTAAACCCTAAACCCTAAACCCTAAACCCTAAACCCTAAACCCTAAACCCTAAACCCTAACTTCCCAGCAAAACCCCTACAATGGGGATGTTAGCGCTGGGCCGCACGCCTCCCAGCCCGGACCGATCCCCAGCCGGGCCGCCTGGGAGCATTGGGGTTCAGGGTTTGGTTTAGGGTTTAGAGGCCTAGGGGCATCTTGGGAGGAGGGTGGGGGTGCGATATTGGGGCCTTCGAGATTGGTGGGGCTTTGGAGCGTTGCTTGGTGGCAGGCTGACTTGGAGGTTCATCGGCAGTTTTAAGTAGGGTTTCTGATCAGGATAACTCTAGCTACAACCTTATTTAGGGTACTCCCGACCCGAAACCCTACACCACAACCCCTTTAAACCCTAAACCGCCTAAACCCCAAACCCTAACCCCCCCCTCCCCCCCCACCCCCAAAAAACAAACACCGAGTCAACTACCCCAAGGTCCCTCCAAGCCCCTCGGCACCCGCAAAATGCTTGGAGCTTCAATGTGTAGGTATAGGTCTGGCTTAGGGTTTAGGGTTTAGGGTTTAGGGTTTAGGGTTTAGGGTTTGGGGTTTGGGGTTTGGGGTTTGGGGTTTGGGGTTTGGGGTTTGGGGTTTGGGGTTTGGGGTTTGGGGTTTGGGGTTTGGGGTTTGGGGTTTGGGGTTTGGGGTTTGGGGTTTGGGGTTTGGGGTTGGGGTTTGGGGTTTGGGGTTTAGGGTGGCTTTTACTGGCTGGTTCTTAGTAGGGAATGAACGACTGAGGTACCCTTTTTTACTTCCTTGAAGGGTATTCTCTAGGGCCCTCATTCCCTCATTGCCTAAGAAGCAGGGGGTCATGGGGAGCTGTAGGTCCCTCAAGCCAGGATGGCCCTTATAAACCCCTCTGAAAGTATTCTTAAACCCTCTTAAACCCGATAAGGGAACATACAAAATGTCCGAGGGGCCTACCCAGTGTAGGTCCCTAAGTCCCCCAACCCCAAACCCTACCCCCCCCCCCCCCAGCCACCAAAAACTGCCCTTTCCCATAAACGACCCGAAAAGGAAGCTGGGAAACGTTGCAGCGCAGGCCCTCGGATGGCTGTAGCTTGCGAAGCAAGCCGAGCAGCGGGTACGAGGCACAAAAAAGTCACCAACTCCGAAACGGCTACCCGAACCCTTACACCCTAAACCCCTTTTATGGTAATGTAGTATGGTTACTGAGCTATCCAGACTATCCTAGGTCCTCTGATGCTCTGGGTATCAGAGCCTTCCAGTTGCAGCAGGTTTAGAGTTTAGGCGCCACCGGTGGGTCACCAAGAGTTTAGGGTTTAGGGTTTAGGGTTTAGGGCTACAGCCGCCACGGGCGGGACTGGCTTGTTTGGGCCGTGTTCTCCTTCCAAGCCCATTGAAGCCACTCCAGCAATGCCACCTCTGTCAGCTCCACCTTTGACGACGCCTCCAGTTGCCCAAAGCAAAACGCCCTCTTTCCCGCCCTGAATCCACACCAAGAACGAACTTGTTCGGCTGAACCTGGCTGGGTACTTGATTTCCCATGCTTTGTTGGTGTGGATCGTGATGCTGCAATGCGGGCGGGATGTACCGCTTGGCTTCCTCCAGAAACTCGTTTCGAGCTTCGCCGGGATCTCTGTCGCAGTGTCAGCTGACGGCGGCGGCAATCTCGCGCTCGATGGGGCGCGAAGAAGCAACTTAGGTATGTGGGCTGATTGCCAAGCTGAAACATGTTAAACAAATTCAGCTCTAACCCTAAACCCTAAACCCTAAACCCTAAACCCTAAACCCTAAACCCTAAGCCCTAAGCCCTAAGCCCTAAGCCCTAAACCCTAAGCACTAAACCCCTAAGCCCTTCAGCCTCGCAGCTTGCAATTTTCTCAGAGCCTTGGGATGATGCTGGCAGTAGATGCGCTTTTCAGGGTACCAGGAGGGATCCCTCGAAGAGATCCATATCCACGATGCTATGAAGCCCTTAGATATGCCTTCCATCGTCCCACCCAAGATGACGCGATGAGCCCTAAACACTTAAATCCCTCAACCCTATAACCCTGACCTCCACAACCACCAAGATTCTACCCTCTAGTAGTCCCTCAACCGCAAACCCTAAGCCCTAAACCCTAAACCCTAAACCCTAACTCCTACACCCTAGACCCTAAACCGTAAACCAAAAACCCTAAACCCAAACCCCAAGTAGCCCTTAAAAGGGCCCTCTAGAGAAGCCAGGCCTGCGAACCCGGCTTCACGCTCTTGACCACCAGGCTCGGGTACCACACGATGCCCAAAGGCTGGGACCTGAGAGAGTTTAGGGTTTAGGGTTTAGGGTTTAGGGTTTAGGGTTTAGGGTGTAGGGTGTAGGGTGTAGGGTGTAGGGTTTAGGGTCTAGGGTTTAGGGTTTAGGGTTTAGGGTTTAGGGTTCAGGGTTCAGGGTTCAGGGTTTAGAGTTTAGGTTTTTTGGGAGGTAGGGAATTCGGGTTTCGGGTTTAGGCTTTTTGTTGTGGGGGGGGGGGGGGGGGGGGGGGGGGGGGGGTGGTGGGGTTGGGGGTTCGGGGGTTGGGGGGTTGGGGGTTGTTGGGGGTTGGGGGGTTGGGAGGGGAGGTTGGGGGAGGTTTGGGGGTTGGGTTTGGGGGGGGTTGGGTTTGGGGGGGGTTTGGGGGGGGGGGGGGGGGGGGGGGGGGGGGTTGGGGGATGGAGTATAGGGGTCAGGTGGTTTGGGGTTTAGGGTTCAGGAGTGTAAAGTTTGAGGTTTCGGGCTTGGGATATTCCGAGTTTTTCCTCAGGTTGGGCGTTCTGAGCTGAGGGTCGACGGTCCCGACTCCCAAGTATGGTCCCTTGAATTGGGTCCCTGGTTATACAACCCGTATATAAACGCTGTATGCAATAAGGGCCCATACTTCGGATCCCTAAGATTAAGGGTAAGGGTCCATACGGCCCATGGTTCCAACCTTAGATAGGGTGGTTTAAACTTAGAGTTCTTTCGACTCCTAATGGGATTGGGAGGGATTTTAGGTCCTGTGGCTGTTTAAGGGTGCTGAGTGGTGATATCCACTGTGTGTTACAGGGTACAGGGGCATCGGGAGTGGCTTAGAGAGCGTTAGGCAGCGTTAGGGCACTTGTGCATGATCAGGTTTGCACTGGTTTGCACTGGTTTCTGAGGCTGTTACGGTGTACTCTCAACCCTAGTGACGAGGGCCTTATTGATGTTCCCATGTCGGTCCCTCCATCCTCAACCGACTGAAAGGTGAACCTCTAAACGAAACCCCGAAACACATAGCCGCAACTAAGACCCTATCATCAGCAGTGCTGTGTGCGTTTCGTGGGACTGTAGGTTTGGCATCTTAAGCAACGAATCCCGTAAACCCAATAAGATTTAAGTTTAGGGTTGAGGGTTTAAGGTTTAGGGAAGCAGACACGAATGTCATCAAGGGCTCCGGCAGGTCTAGATCAATGTCGATCGGCGGGGGGACGACCATGGGCACATTTGGGTCGCCTGCAAAAGCGTGTGAATGGCAGCGCACATGAAGTCTTGGGTTTAGGGTGTCGGCGTTTTAGGAACTTACGGGCCCTAAATCCCCTTTAAAAAAGCCCATTATAGGGTTGACTATGGGGATTCTAGGGCCTAATAGCCCATCCTGGTAGGAGACGCTTGCAGAACCCCAAAGATTACAGAATCAGCAGCCTGCTGCCTCTGCATCTTTTTTGTTCAAGGAAGAACCATACAACCCGCAAAATGCCAAAGAAAGCAAGGAGCATAAGCCGCAAGTAATTCATAGTTTGTAGGCGTCGTGCAATTAAACTGTCGGGGACTGCCTCAGGGAAGCTGAAAATACCCGAAGTATCCCTAAACCCTTTTTTACGTCGACACTACAGTCTGAACACGCCTCCGAAAACTATAAACCCGCGAAGTTGTTCTCTACGTTAGGGTCCCTTTTGAAGGTCCGCTTTATAAGGTGCCGTACTATATTTGGGACCCAAAGGACTACCCAAACCCCAAAACCCACAAGCCCTACAGTGAACCCCTAAGTCTTTTCAGGCTCGGCTTGGGAAAGGTACACGCAGGGATACGCAGGGTGGGGTGTCAAGAGATGGCGAAAGCCGTTGGGGGAAGGGTACAGAAGCCGGATGGCACAAACAGATTACGTGCAGCTCGGCGAAGAGGACGACCATGGCTTTTGGAGAGTCGCCCGAAACCCTAAACCCTAAACCCTAAACCCTAAACCCTAAACCCTAAACCCCCTCGTCTGAAGCGGAGCCCGAGTGGCGCGGCGGCGGTCGAAGCTCCTCCTTCTTCTCGGCAATCACCTCCTGCTCCTCGGCGTGGCGTAGTCTGATAAGGGTACCCCCCCCCCCCCTCTTTTGCGGGGGGTTTAGGGTTTTCGTTTAGGGTTTAGGGTTTAGGGTTTAGGGTTTAGGGTTTAGGGTTTAGGGTTTAGGGCTGCCTTAAACCCAGGGGTTGTACCTTGACTCCTTAAGGTTTTACCCGGCACGCTTTTAAAAGATCCCTAAGGTCGAAGAAGCGCCATCTTAGGAGAAAATCAAGGGGAACCTTTGGGGGTTGACTTGGGGTAGGAGTCTTAATCACTTGGAACCTATTCTAATACGGGTACCCTTTCTTGGGTTTAGGCTTTAGGCTAGGGTTGCCTTGAACCAAAAAAGGCATAACCCACAGGGTCCATTGGTTTTGGTTAAGGCCTATAAATAATTAGAGTAATTCATTATCATTAATTAGTTAAAGCCGGCTCGTCCCTCTGCGCGCAGTCCTTCCCCTCGGGGTTCAGCAAAGCCATCCTGGTCTGCAGGAAGTGCAAGTCGCGCAGATAGGCGACGTTTCCCGCGATCCAAGAAGGATGGGCGGGGCTAGAGAAGGGCTTCAATGTTTGCCTCCTTGTCGCCGTCCGACGGTGGCTCCGCATAGCCCCCCAACAACCAGGCCTAAACCCTAAACCCTAAACCCTAGAGCCTAAAGCCTAAAGCCTAAAGCCCTATAAACCCTAAACCCTAAAGACCCCTAAACCCTAAACCCTCCTAAACCCTAAACCCTCCTAAACCCTAAAGCCTCCTAAACCCTAAACCCTCCTAAACCCTAAACCCTAAACCCTAAACCCTCCTAAACCCTAAACCCTAAACCCTAAACCCTAAACCCTAAACCCTAAACCCTAAACCCTAAACCCTAAACCCTAAACCCTAAACCCCAACCTTCCTCCGTCCAAGGCGGCCTGGTCGCACATCAAGTTGCGCGCGGCGTAGAGCCTTGCAGTTCCCTTTTCCTCTTGGCTGCGGCTTCCCAGCCTTCCGCAAACTGAGCCACCTGCCCAGCATCTTGTGTCCGGCCACTGGCAGCCCATGCTCCACGAAGAGCTTCATGAGGTTCGGCTCCTCCCGGTCCAGACCAAGCTCTTGTTTCGGGTATGCCGCCCTTTCTTCCGGAGCTGTCCCCTGACCACGCTGTCGCCCCCGCCCCCGCCCCCCGATCGGGCTAAACCCAAAACCAAGCTTATGCGCCCCCTAAACTTCATTGGTGCTTATTGGGCTCAGGATCTGGGGTTCAGGGTTTAGGGTTTAGGGTGCCAAAATCTCATGTGTGCTGACAGAATATTATATGAAATCGATTTCGGGTAGAGGATTTTGGACTGACAGGGTTTAGGATACGGCGTTGAAGGGTCTAGAGCTTCAGGCAGCCGAGGGTTTAGGATCAAGGAATGTATAGTATACCCTAGACGCCAAACCCTGGGGTTCCAAACCCCAAACCCTAAACCCCAAACCCCAAACCCCAAGGCAGCCAGGCCGCTTCCTCTGGGACGTGCCTTGAGGCTACCAGGGGAGTCCAAAGGCGAGGTTTCCCTAAACGTCCATGTAAGCGTAGGGTTTTGGGTGTGTAGAGCCCAAGGCTACGAGGAACCTTTTTAAAAGGCCCAGGTATATACGAAACAGCTACATGATGCCTTTGGGGTTTCGGGGTTGCCTGGGGCTTCGGGTTTTGAACGGCTTGTCCGGGTCCGGGGTGTTGGGTTCGTGTCTAATGGGGTGTGGGCTTCGGGTTTAGTTCTAAGGTTTTGGCTTGAGGTCTGGAATGAATCTGATTGTTTAGGGTTCAGCTTGCTGTGGGGTTTGTCGGGGTTGTTTCACGGTTATCTTGCGAGACTTTAGCATCTTGCGGCTGTTTCCCTTACACCCTGAAACTCCCAGCCCGATCAAACCGGACTGCAACCGCTTGGCCCTAAACGACGCACAACCGGACAGCTGAGTGGCTGGATCATGCCTGCGACCGTGTTTGGCATTCCTCGCGCCTGCCTGGGCACACATGTTGCAGCGAACTTGGAAATTTCTGAGCAGATGCCGAAACATCAAGTTGCTCCTCCTATATAGCAGTGCCTGCAATAGGTACTTGTAGGCGCGGCGATACAGGGTGTATCGCCTTTTCGTTGGGCGCTGTAGGATCTACAGAGTCGCTTGCTGTATATGGTCGACCTTAAGAACCCCAAACCTGCGTGTTTCTTGATTCTCATTACAAAACCCCGTATAGGGTTCTTGGGTAACTCACCTTAAGAACCCGAAACCTACTTGCTTCCAGGCTCTTATTACAGAATCCCGGGTTTTGGGGTAGCCTACGTCCAAAAAAAATATGTTCTGGGTTCTTGAGGTACAGGGCTTCGAGGGCTTGTGCGGCTCAGCGGGTTCACGAAACGCAGTAGCGTGGCCCTGGAAGTGAAACCTGCACCAAGACCCCCAAAGTAAGCCACCTCTGCCATACCTTTACCCTAAACTCTCTCTGTCTCCCTGTCTCTCACACACGCACACATACACGCATACGTCGAAAATATATACATATATACATAGATAGATAGACAGATAGATAGATAGATAAATAGACCCGTGTTTGTTTCTTGTGTACATACACATGTAAACATGGGTATCTCTCTATACATATATATATATATATATAGGCTTATGCTACATATTCCCCAGACCTATGTTTCATAGGAGCCATACGGACCACCATTTGAGATGACTGCGAGAGATTTAGGCTGAGCGGCTCGAAGTGGATGGAGACTGGAAGGTTGACCTGGCCAACAGGCGACCGCAACCCCCTTGCGCAAAGTGCCCCAAAAAACACCTTACTTAAAGTGTCCCAAACCCGTTTAAAAAGAGGGGTTAGGCTTTGAGTGTCCCAAACCCTTTTAAAAAGAGGGGTTAGGCTTTGAGGTCATAAGGTTCAGGGCTTGTAGATCCTAAGGTTTAGGGTCCTAAGCGACCATTAGGGTTTGAGGTCTCAAGGTGTTTAGGGCTTGAGGTTTCAGGTCCTGAGGATTAGGGGCATGAGGTGGACGGTCCCAAGGTTGAGAGTGTACCTAAACCCTAAGCCTAAACCCTAAACCCTAAACCCTAAACCCTGAACCCTGAACCCTAAACCCTAAACCCTAAACCCTCAAGCCCTGTCCTGCACCCCAAAATGCTACTCAGAATCCGCGGACTGAGTGCAAAAGACCGAAAACAATTACAAAACTAAACGCCAGCCTTGGGGACCGAATGAACCCTGTTAGGGTTTAGGGTTTAGGGTTTAAACCCTAAACCCTAAACCCTAAACCCCGAGAGTTGTTGCCGGGCGTAGGCCAGCGCGAAGGAGTCTAGGGCTTGTGGTCTTCCGTCTAAGGTTTAGGTCTTAGGGTTTAGGGTTTAGGGTTTAGGGTAGGGTAGTTCCATGGGCCCTTAGTATGGGCCTTAAAAATGGGACCCCTTATGTACTCCCTAATATACCCCATACAGGTTAAGGGCCCATACATCAGAGCTCTTAAAAGGCGGTAAAGGGCCCATATTAAGGTTTAGGGTTTAGGGTTTAGGGTTTAGGGTCTTGGGTTTAGGGAGTCAGTACAGTACACTTGGGCCCCAAAGTCCTATGTAGGAGGCACTTCAAGGCCCAAGTCTTCCCTGTTTAGGTACATGGACCCTTAGGGTAAGTTATCAACAAACCCTAAACCCTAAACCCTAAACCCTAAACCCTAAACCCTAAACCCTAAACCCTAAACCCTAAACCCTAAACCCTAAACCTAAACCCTAAACCCTAAACCCTAAACGAAGAAACCCTAAACCCCAAGCACTCATCTGCAGCTCCCTGCTCTGAGGCGGCACCTCCTTCAGCATGTCCCGGACGTGCTCGATGCGGAGGGAGCTGACTTCCGTACCACCTCAAAAAGGGGTGATCGGAGTGGCTTAGGGCTGAGGAGTTCAGGGTTAAGGGTGCAGGGGTTTCGGCTTTAGGGGTTTAGGGGTTTAGGGTTTAGGGTTTAGGGTTTAGGGGTTACGGGGTTGGGCTTTAGGCTTTAGGTCAAACGATACGACAAAGGAGGGTGCTCCTAGTGATAGCTGGCGTTCTGAGGAGTGATGAACCAAGGGGGTGAGGGGGGTGTTAGTGTGACAACTTAGGTCGGAATTCAGTGGGAAGTATCTTGAGGTACCGTTTTTCCGTTGAAGGGGCATGTAGGTGCAACTTACAGGGCTTGATGGCATCCTTGGGGGCAAGGCCCGGGTGCCCAGCCCTAAACCCTTAACCCCTCAATGCTCCCCAAAGAACCAAAACACAAAGTTCAGGGTTGGGGACGCTTGGCTTATACACCCACAAAAAAACTTTGAGCGGTGCACATGCTGCTTAAATCAAGAATTTGCAGGGCAAGAACCAGTAAGATGGGCTCTATTGAGATGCCAAAGCCCTGGAGCCACTGGTGGCTCCCGGGCCAGGGCGACACATAGCTGGTCAGGGTGTACACCCTAAACCCTAAACCCTACTTGGAGAATCATGGTAATTATCTACGAACCGAATTATGTCGTACTTGTAGCCCTCTTATAAGCCCCTTACGTACCCTGATGGGGATATAAGTGGTTTATAAAAGTACAGTGAAAATTCGGATAATTAAGTAGGACCGTGAACCTCCAAGTCCACTATGTAAACGCTAAACCCCCAGGTGCGGTGGAGCTGCCTGTCCCACATCTAGCTCTTGCCTATTCCAGGCCCGAAAATGTAATCCCCGAAGTTTAGGGTTGAGGGATTAGGGTTAGGGTTTAGGGCACCGCGGATCCTGTGAGTTCGGAGCACTCGGTTCCATTCAGCAACGACTCGGGAAGAAAATCTCACTTCCTCCGGAATCCGTCTCTCTGAGGGTGGTTGCATGGTCCCTTAGTATGGGCCCTTAAATAGGGACCCCTTTTGCAGCCCTTACTTGGAAGCTCTTTTGACTTGTAAGTCTAATTGGTATCCCCTATACCCCTACTTACTAAGTCAAAAGGGCTTCCAAGTAGAATGTGCCCTAAACCCTAAACCCCAAACCCTAAACCCTAAACCCTAAACCCTAAACCCTAAACCCCAAGGGTCCATACTTCAGAACCCTTTAGAGAGGGCCACCCTTCGAGTCTCAGGGCCTACAGAAGGGGACTTGCCTGAAGGGGGGCATGTCGCTAATCTCCCTTTTGAGTATATTCTTGGGCCCCGCAGCTACTATATGGGAGCCCACTTTAAGGCCCAAGTACATACTATACGGGTACATGGACCCTTAGGGATTGACCCCGACAGTAGAGGCCCTTTTTGGGGGTTCCTATAGTAGGGGTTATAGCCTATAGCATTTGGGGGTATATTAGGGGTACCCCTGCATACCCCTATTTCGGGAAATGGCCAAGTATGACTCTGCCTGACTCGCCCCTATGGAGGTCTGCAGATGAGGCGCCGATGTTGGCAACGATCGCGCCCGGCCTGATGCCTAGGTGGTCGGTGGGCACAGAGCCTTCTCGCATTGTGATGGATTTTTCTTCTTCCGACAAACGGCAAACGACAATTGGACTGCCAAAGGGACACCCCAACACCTACTTGTCCAGATCCCTAGGGGAAGGATAACCTTTAGGATCATATTTCGGGACTGGTGCTGCCCGAATAAGCTAAAGGCTACCTGCCCTTACTTACCCACTCAACCCTAAACCCCAAACCCTGAACCCTGAACCCTGAACCCTGAACCTCAAACCCTAAGCTAGGGTTGAGGGTTTACCTGAAGAACACAAACAGCTTACTTGTTGTAGGCGATTACTTAAACACCCCTTATAGGATCTCTTAAGTAACCCCCTAACCCGAAACCCTAAACCCGAAACCCTAAACCCTAACCCTACACCCTAAACCCTAAACCCTCCAAAGACGTAGGTGTAGGGCTTCGGGCTGACGAGCTTCTCATAGGCTAAGGATTTTAACTTGAGAGTGGAGAGTGTGAATTCCGGGGCTTCAGACCCGGAGGCTTGCAGTATAGGGTAGATACACATACAAATAAAGACATGTAAAATAATGGTAACAATACTAATACTCATGATATTTATCAGAATAAAAAGAAGAGGAATAAGAATATATGGATAATAACAATAATAGTCACAAGTGTAATAGTGAGCATCCCCGAATTAAGGCCCAAAACAAGGGACCGACCATGTAAGTACCCTAAGACTCAAAAATTCTAAACTCGAACCCCCCAAACCCTAAAACCCTAAAACCCCTAACCCTAAATCCCGAAAATTCCAAACTGCTAACCACCCTAAAAAGGGTTTAGTGTTCATATACCCTATACTGTAATACGGATTGCTGTACTATAGGGTATATGACCCCAAGTTTGGGACCCTAAAGCCCCAAAGCCCTAAAGCCCTAAAGCCCTAAAACCCTAAAACCCTAAAACCCTAATACCCTAAAACCCTAAAACCCTAAAGCCCCAAAACCCTAAAACCCTAAAACCCTAAACCCTAAACCCTAAACCGTTCATTTGGTCCCCAAGGTCTTCACCGCCTGGGCACCGTAGGCGCGCGCCACGCCCGTGGAGCTGGAGACGTGGACTAAGCCAAGCTCGGAATCCTCAGGATGCAGCTTTAGGGGTTTTTGGGGTTTAGGGTTTAGGGTTTCGGGTTTAGGGTTTGTGGGGCTTAGGGTTTTTAGGGCGTTTAGGGCTTAGAGGGTTTAGGATTTGTAGGGTTCAGGGTGGGATTCTCTTTTTTCTTAGAATTTCTGCGGGGCTCAGTTTAGGGCTGGTAGGGGGTTGGTAGGGTTCGTCGGGTTTGTAGGGTGTGTAGGGTTTTGTAGGGGTTTGTAGGGTTTGTAGGGTTTTGCAGGGTTGTAGGCCCTAAACCCTAAGGGTTTTGTAGGGGGGGGGTTTGTAAGGTTTGTAGGGTTTATAGTGTTTAGGGCTTGTGTTTCGGGTTTGCCGGGTTTAGGGGTTCAGGGTTTGAAATTTAAATGTCCAGAGCGTATAGGGCTGAGGGTCATTCAGGATTCCGGATTTTGGGCTCTGCCTACAAGTTCATCGTGCTTACGCGTAGGGATGCTGCCTACAGATCCCTGTGCAACTCTAGATGACAAAGCTCTGTGAGAGCTTGAAGTTTAGGACTTCGTCCAACATACCCCAATGCTACGTAAGTGCAGAATCACCCCCTGTGTCTCTGCGGCAAACCCTAAACCCTAAACCCTGAAACCCTGAAACCCTAAACCCTAAGCCGTAAACCCTAAACCCTGAACCCTGAAACCCTAAACCCTGACCAAGCCCGAACCCAAACCCTGAACCTCAACCACAAACGCTGAAACCCTAAACCCTAAGCCCTGAAACCCTAAACCCTGAACCCTAGAACCCTGAAACCCTAAACCCTAAACCCTGAAACCCTGAAACCCTAGAACCCTGAAACCCTGAACCCTAGAACCCTGAAACCCTAAACCCTAAACCCTGAAACCCTGAAACCCTCTGTCTGGCCTTGGCCACGGTGAAGCCCATCGGTCGCTTCTCAAAGCTGGCGACGATGGGAGGGGGCGAGAAGACTATGGCCACCTCCTTCACTCCCTCGGCAACAGGGGGAGCCTAAGGGACTTAGCCTTTCTAGGGTTTAGGGTTTAGGGTTTAGGGTTTAGGGTTTAGGGTTTAGGGTTTAGGGAAAGCCCGGCAACTCATCTAATAACCCTAAACCCTAAACCCTCCACCATCGGGCTTTAGGGCCTGGCCGTTTGGGCAGTTTTGGGCTTTGCATTAAGGGCTTTAGGGTTTCAGGGCTTAGGTTTGCCAGCAAATTGCGGGCCTATGAACTCTCAACCCTGAGATTAAGTGTAGGGTTCAGGGTTCAGGCTTTGGGGTGTGGGGTTTAGGGCTTAGCCCGGCGCACCTGCGAGATCAGATTGGCCATGCGGTCCTGTTGGGCGACTCCGGGCAAGGTTCTCTAAACCCGAAACCCTAAACCCTAAACCCTAAACCCTAAACCCTAAACCCTACTGCCTAAGCCCTGCAGGACCCTGAGCCCTAAACCCTTAAACCCTAAAACCTAGAGCTGGCTTAACTTAGCAAGTAGAGTGCGGAGATTGCAATGGCTCTACCAAGAACTTGGCTGCTCTTAGCAGGGTAGCTATAAATTTAATTGTTAGCTGCCTTCTTAAGAAACCCAACAAACCCAAAAAGGCTAAAGATGTAAAGTTACAGTAAAGCACCACAAAGATAAGAAGCGAGGAGGGGGGAAGGCTCCCGTTCACTCGGCGATCTCCGCCCGCGAGCTCTCCTTGTCTGTGTACAGGCTTGCCAGCATCAGCAAGGGTCTCCAGACAGCAGGCAAAGCTTGCAAGACCCTAAACCCTAAACCCTAAACCCTAAACCCTAAACCCTAAACCCTAAACCCTAAACCCTAAACCCTAAACCCTAAACTTTCTAAACCCTAAACCCTCCATGTTTGACCTCCAAAGCACCGATGCCAGGCCACGTGCGGACGGCCTCTGACCGACAAAACAGCGTGCCGAAACTCGACACAAAGCGGGCCCTTCAAGAGGTCCCAGGACACAAGGGCAGAACGAACGATGTTGCATACCAACGATTGAGGGTTCAGGGTCCCTAAACCCCAAACCCTATAAGCCTGGGTTACTCCGGGAGCCTAGCTCCAGGAAGCCCAAGCCAAGGGTTAGAAAGCGATGTAACCCTACAAACCCACTCGAACCCTGACAAGCCCTAATTTCTAGAACTCTATACGCCACAACACTAAGCCTGTACCCTAAACTACTATTTGCGCAAGAACCCCCACGTCTTAAAAGGTATTCTTCCTAATAAGGGCATTTTTTTGGGGGGGATTATTCTCTTTCATTGCTTTGGGGTGCTTAAGCAAACGGTAGCAAGCTCGCCCTCTCGCCCTAAACGCCAATCTCAGCAACCCTTCAGCCCTAAGCCCTTCACCTAGGGTGCGGGTGGCGACTCTTGAGCGTCCCAAAAATATTTGTTAAACAAAAGAAACCCAGGGGACGGAGGGGGGGACAGAGGGGGGGCAGGGGGGTTCGGGCAACAAAGCTGCGCGGTGCAAACACTTTTGCTGCCAGGAACACCCTACATCCTAAACCGCCTAAAACTTAGACCTTGGGGATGTTTTACGTTATACAAATAGTCCTTAATGGGGATTCTCATAGCCTAAATTATATAATCCCTATTAAGGACTAGTATAAGGGTCCCAAACCCCTAGAACCCAACACAGGGCACCCTCTTCTACTAAACCCCAAACCCTAAACCGAACGGAACACCCCTAACAAAAAGCAGAGGGGGCAAACAGGGGTGGATCCTTGACCCTAAACCCTAAACCCTAAGCCCTAAGCCCTATAAACCCTAAACCCTAAACCCTAAACCCTAAACCCTAAACCCTAAACCCTAAACCCTAAACCCTAAACCCCAAACCAAAAGGGGCGGATCCTTGAGGTCCGTCGTCTTCTGCACCTCGACGCCCCCCACGGAGCGGACGCGCCAGTTGGGGCGGATGCCCAGGGCGAAGCCCTGGCTGTCCTTGCAACAGCTTCTGGCGTAGGGTTTAGGGTTTAGGGTTTAGGGTTTAGGGTTTAGGGTTTAGGGTTTAGGGTTTAGGGTTTAGGGTTTAGGGTTTAGGGTTTAGGGTTTAGGGTTTAGGGTTTAGGGTCTAGGGTCTAGGGTCTAGCGTTTAGGGTTTAGGGTTTAGGGCTTAGGGTTTGGGGCTTAGGGTTTAGGGTTGTTTATAGAGGGCTTTTGCAGGGCTTATGAAGGCTCATGCCTGGGCTTATATGCGGGGCTGTATGGGCCTTCTATGCCCAAGGAGAAGCCACGGCCCTTAACCCTAAACCCTAAACCCTAAAGAGAGTGTAGGGTGTACTGTCTGCATCGCACTGCGTTTAGGGTTTATGTGGTTTAGGCGCGCGCCCTAGAGTCCCTGAACCCTAAACCAAACCCTAAAGCGGTTTAGGGTTTAGGTTTTAGGGTTTAGGGTCCCAGAAACCCCCAATGCGCCCATTCAGCCCTAAAAACTTGTAGTTCGGTTGGAGGGTAGGGATGAATTCTCCGGCAGTTCGAGGGTTGGAACGGTCCGGGAGGCTTAGGGTTTGGGTTCAAAGTGTAGGACGTAAAATAGTTGGGTGTGCACAGGGTTTACGGTATAGCGTTTAAAGTTCTAACTTAGGGTGAGTACTGCAACGCCGTCCTCCTGCACCGTCTTCGTGACAAGGAAGTCATTGAACCTTGGCTGTTGCGTGGCTTGGGTGTTTTAGGGCTTAAGCTTGTCGAAACTCTGGTCCCGTTGGGAGTCCCTTGTTTTATGGCTGCATGGCCCAAATATTCAGAGCATCCAGAGAAGGACCAACGTTTAGAGAACAGATCAACCCATGAGCTTTTTTGTTGTTTGGGAACTTAAGCCCCAGATCCTAAACCCTAAGCCCCAAGCCCTAAACCCTGAAACCCTGGATCCTAGACATGAAACTCACATCGACACCAGCCCTAAACCCTAAACCCTAAACCCTAAACCCTAAACCCTAAACCCTAAACCCTAAACCCTAAACCCTAAACCCTAAACCCTAAACCCTAAACCCTAAACCCTAAACCTAACCCTAAACCCTAAACCCTAAACCCTAAACCCTAAACCCTAAACCCTAAACCCTAAACCCTAAACCCTAAACCCTAAACCCAACCCTAAACCCTAAACCCTAGTATCGGATAGTTGGCAGCCCTGTCAAGCCCCTGAATCCGAAGCCCCAGGTCTCCCTGAACCCTGGACCATCCTGAACCCTAACCATCCTGAACCCCAAACCCTAAACCCTAAACCCTAAACCCTAAACCCGAAACCCGAAACCCGAAACCCTAAAGCCCTAAGCCCTAAGCCCTAAACCCTAAACCCTAAACCCTAAACCCTAAACCCTAAACCCTAAACCCTAAACCCTAAACCCTAGCCCTAAACCCTAAACCCTAACCCTGAACCCTAAACCCGGCACCAAACGAAATGCTGTCGGCCTTGCGGCCAAAGCACACGCAGCCAAGTGGTCTTCTCAAGTCCACGACCACGATGATGCCTGTGACTGCAAGCACATGCACTGCAAGGCACCAAAAAGCTACTTCCCCTAGTCCAACACCGAAAGTACTCCGCCTCCACCCACGCCCCAAGTTGCCAACATGGTATATGAACTAGGGTTTTGGGGACTTGGGGTTTAGGGTTTGGGATTTAGGGGTGCAGGGGTTGAGGTTTAGGGATGTAGGGATGTAGGGTTTAAGGGTGCAGGGTGTGGGTTTCGGGAATTACTTGGAGGTTCAGGGTACTTCATAACCCGATGATAACTCTACTTGTAGCCCACTTATGAGCCTCTTAAGTGCCCGAATATGGTTATGATTGGGTTATACGTGTAATTGGGTTCTGAAGCACCCTGAACCTCCAAGTAGGGATTTAGGGTTTAGGGTTTGGAACCAGTAGGGTTTGGAACCAGACGAGACAGGGCCCTGATTGTCAAGTGCCGGGGCATGAGCCATTTTTAGGTCAGCGGTCTCCCAAGCCCTGGCCCTCGAGATCCCTCAGCCCCCGAAACCGAAAATGAAGGTTTAGGGTTTAAGGTTTGGGGTTTATAGGGTTTAGGGTTTAGGGCTAGGGTTTCGGGTTTAGGGTTTAGGGAAGCCAAGCCCTAAAGAGAATAGAAAGCAGCGCAGACGACAAACACATGTGCATATGTACATATGTATAGATAAGTAGATAAATACAGATGTATGTATTCAAGAACTACTTAGTGACATCATGTAATCAAGCTCAATCATGTACTAGAGCTCAGCGAAATGCCCAGCTCCGAAGTAGCTCAGGAAAGTAGCAGCACATCTGGTTGGCATTCGGGACCCCCCGTTAGGGTTTTAGGGTTCAGGGATTAGGGTTGCGGGTGAAAACATTGGGTTAGGATCAGGGCTTGGGGTTTCGGGTTTAGGGCTTAGGGTTTAAGTTTTAGGGGTTCGGGTTCAGGGGGTACATAGGCCCCAACCGATAGGGCTTGGGGTTTAGGATTTGAGGTTAGACTTTCCACTCCAAAGCCTGCCAAGGACTCTTTGAGGTTGAGGGTCTACGGTTTAGGGTTGAAGGATCTTGGATGATCTCTATTGAGGTCCAGGGGTAAAGATTTAGGGTCTGCGGTGGAGGCCTGAAGGTTTCCGGATGTTCTCTTTTGAGGTTTAGGTTGGGATGTTCCTCCTTATAAAAACAATCCTTAATAGGGATTATCGGAGGGGGTACTATAATCCCCATTAAGGACTGCTAGTATAAGGGGGAAGATCCTAAGGTTTTGGGACTAAGAATTGTAAGGGTTTCGGTTTAAGGACCCCTAAACCCTAAACCCTAAACCCTAAACCCTAAACCCTAAACCCTAAACCCTAAACCCTAAACCCTAAACCCTAAACCCTAAACCCTAAACCTGCGGGCTCAGGGTTGAGGCTTTCCGTGCCTCTTGCCAGCTGGTCGACCGTGGCGCGCAACATGCCCTGGCGCCCACAAGCATGGACCAACGACCGAACTTCGGGTTTAGGGTGTAGGGTTTGGGGTTTGGGGTTTGGGGTTTAGGGTTTAGGGTTTAGGCTTCACAATTTAGGAGTTGAAAAAGGTTAATGAGTTTAGGATGTGTTCAGGGATTGAGGCGTGTAGGGGATTGGGAGTAGGGCAGGCTTAGGTTTTGGGTTTTAGGCTTTGGGATTGAACCCTAAACCCTAAACCCTAAACCCTGAACCCTGAACCCTAAACCCTAAACCCTCTAAGTCACTACGTATGGCCTTCACTGCGTAGAGGAGAGGAGAAGCCCTCAACAAGCCTTTCCAAAGCCTACTTGGAGGTTCATGGTACTTAAAAACCAAATTATAACTGTACTGAATAATCCAATTATAACCACATTAGGGCACTTAAAGGGCTTCTAAGTGGGTCCAAGTACAGTTCAACTTGGGTTAGAAGCACTCTGAACCTCCAAGTACCCCCCCCCCCCCCCCCCCCCCCCCCCCAAACGAACATGTCACTAAGGGTAGCTTCATGGGCCCCTAGAATGGGCACTTAAAAGGGGGCCCTTATATACCCCTATATACCCTATAAAAGGGGACCCTTATATACCCCTAGTATACTACCCCTAATATACCCTACAAAACCCTCGGGCCCCCTTTTAAGGGAGGTAAGGGACCATTCTAAGGGCAGCTATGCACCTCAAAGGCCTAAAGAGAAAACACAACTCCCCTAATTCTGAGCCCCGAGATTGAGGGTGGATGATCTTTCGGCCATCAGTCAAGGGAATCGAAGTGTATAGGCTTCTACCCTAAACCCTAAACCCTAAACCCCTAAATCCTAAACCCTAAACCCATAAACCCTGAAGCCTGAAGCTTCAGACCCCGAAGCCTGAACACCGAACTCTCAAACCTTGAGCCCTTCGAAGTATAAACGCTATGAACCCTCTAAACCCTCCAAACTCTCTAAACTCTGTCAACCTGAACCCCTCGAATAAAACACAAACCCCAAACCTGAAACCCCAAACCCTAAACCCCAAACCCAAACCTTAAACCCAAAACCCAAACCCCAAAGCAAAAAAACTTTAAACCCTAAAACCCTAAACCCCAAACCCAAAACCCCCAAACCCGAAAGCCCAAACCCTAAACCCCTAACCCTACACCCCAAACCCTACAAACCCTACAAACCCCAAACCCTTAACCCAAAACCCTACAAACCGTGCAAACCCTACAAACCCTAAGCCAGAAACCCTAAACCCCAATCCCCAAACCCAAAACCCCAACCCCCAAAACCCTAAACACCCTAACCCCAAACCCCAGACCCTAAACCCTAAACCCTAAACCCTAAACCCTAAACCCTAAACCCTAAACCCTACACCCCAAACCCTAAACCCCGAGCCGCGCACCTTGGTCACCTCGGCACTGAGCCGCTTGGCCTCGAGCTCGGCCTCCTTCCTTTGCTGAGGGCTCTAGGGGGGCTCTTTGAGGGGTTTAGGGTTTAGGGTTTAGGGTTTAGGGTTTAGGGTTTAGGGTTTAGGGTTTAGGGTTTAGGCTGGCCGGTTCTTTGTAGGGAATGAGGGAATGGGTACCCTAAATAATCCCTTAAAGGGTATAGAAAGGGCTCTAATTCCCCAAATGTTTAGGGTTTGGGGTTTAGAGAAGTTTGCTTGGAACATGCCAAGACCAGCTTGTAAGAGTGAAAAGGTTCCTAGGCGTGGGTCTGTTGCACGAGTTTGAACAATTCTTGTGGCATTCCAGTGGGCATCGTGGACCCCCACACTTTCTTCGAATACTTCGACTGCAGTTGGCGGACGATGCAAAGAGGCTTCAGGGCCCGATTGTGACATGTCTACAGGTTCGTATAGCCGACTGCCAGTTGGGTCACTAGAGCCTTGAACCCTACCGACCCCCAGCTGCTTCGTGGCCTGGACCTATGTGGGTAGTGGTTCACAATGCCTGTCTCCAAAATGGCCTAGAGCAGAGCCAGGGCTAAGAATCCATGGTCCCTGCCTTGAGAAGGCCCTTGAGAAGTTTAGGGTTTAGGGTTTAGAGTTTAGGGTTTAGGGCCTGAGCGTGCACTTGCCCTTCAAGACAATCATCGCGCATGGCGCTTAGCACAAAGGACCGAGCGAATGAACGGCTATACACAGTGTCTCCAAGCACATCGCAACGCAGAAGTACCAAATAGCTACAACCCCTTTGGGGACCACATGAACCCCAAAAATTGGGGTGATATCCCCTATACTACTCAAATCCCTATTGAGAACCATAAACCCTCTTAGGGTTCAATTTGTCCGCAAGGAAGAACATGTTTTTACTGGCAGCCGTGGCGCTTCTCCAGGACTCGTGGCACACGGTTGTGGAAGTGAGTGATACCTCGCTCTGCCTCCACTTTGCTGGCAAGCCTCACAAAGGTGCAAGGCTCGCACACGATTCCCGCTGCCCTCAGGCCTAAACCCTGAAAACCCTAAACCCTAAACCCTAAACCCTAAACCCTGAACCCCAAATCCCAAACCCTAAACACCTCTGACTGAGCGCAGAACCGGACGAAGGCAATGGCGCCCCAATCGGCGGCTTTCACTTTCATGCTCCTGGGGGTTCGGGCTTCGGGTTTAGGTGAGTCGCCCTTAAACCCTAAACCCTAAATCCGAAACCCTAAGCCCCAAACCCTGTTCAATGGCAATCTTCGACTCAAGCCCGTTTAGGGTGTGGGACTTGGGGCAGCTTGCGCCCTACGCGTAGCTCCATCGTACCCCACAGCTTAGTAGCAGTTGTCTCGAGCTCCCTTCTTGGTAGAATAGGTATATAAGCCTGAAAGGCCTGTAGGGCGTATGTACAGGGTTTGGGGGGTTACCTAAAGGATCAGGGGACTTAGTAAGTGGGGATATCAGTAAGCTAACTGTACTTCTACTTACCTATAGCCCCCATTACTGTACTCATAACCCTACTTACAAAGCGCCCCGATCCTCCAAATATTCCCCACTCTATACATTAAACGGCTTATAGGCTTGTAAGGCGTATGTATAGGGATCGGGGGATTAGGCCAATATCACGATAGTTCTACTATAGGGGCCTGAATAATTCGAATAGGGTTTTGGGGGGTTATTATAGTATAATTCTAGAGGGACGAGAAGTAATTCCCTAAACCCTAAACCCTAATTAAAAACTAAACCCTAGACCATAGACCCTAGACTCTAAACCCTGAACCCAACTCTATTTAGGGGCTTAAGGGTAAGTCGGGGGGCAAACATTCATGATGGATGGGGGGGGGGGGGGGGCTTTTCATACGGCCCCTAAACCCTAAACAAGCCCCAACTGCAAACTCCAACCATAGCGCCATCCGAGCTGCTGAATCTCGCCCACCTCAGAGAAGATCGCCTCGATGTCGGCCTCCTGGGACGACTGCTGCTACGCAACATTAGGGTTTAGGGTTTAGGGTTTAGGGTTTAGGGTTCAGAGAGAAAACCCTACTGCCAAAACTCCAAATTAAAATTTATTCTAAACTAAACCTGGCAATAATCGGGGCTGCGAAAACACATTGGAAGCCCTGAACTGGAAACCGCCGGAAACCCCAACGTCTCGTAACGCCTCCATTGGTTGCGAGCTACAATCCCTAAAGCAGGTCGCTGTTGAAGTAGACCCAAAGTCCAGACAAGAGCTTCCAGCACAGGTCAGGTGCAATTTTAGAGAACTTTGAGGGGGTGAAGTGATATACCTTCGTTTTATGTGTGGTGCTGCTCCTGAAGCCTATGAAACACATGCCTAAAGAATCTTCACCCTACAAGTCCTAAACCCCAAAAGCCCTACTACAAGCTTTACATTGCATACCCTTCAAACCCCCACACCATACAAGCTAAATCGGATTCAGCCCCAACTGGAAGACTCAAACTCAAGCAGCCCCTACTCCTTTCCCTTAGGGCTTTAGAATTGCAAGACTTCTGTGCTTTCTAGGACATATTAAACCTAAACCCTAAACCATTAGGAATTAGGGTTTTCGGCTTCAGGGCTTTAGGGCTCTGGGGGTTAGGGCCCGGCAGTCAAACCCTAAACCCCCAAAAACTCGCGCAACCTTCACTACTTGGTAGCCCAGAAGCCATCTCATACTAAGGGTACCGTTTAGGGTTTAGGGTTTAGGGTTTAGGGTTTAGGGTTCAGGGTTTAGGGTTTAGGGTTTCGGGTTTCGGGAGCCCAGCACCCCCCCAAGAAAAGGCAAAGGGTTCCGAGAATGCGAAGACAAGGGGCGGTGACCCAGCCCGGCAGACCCTTGACGTAAAGGTTGTCCGAGGGTGGTGGGTTCTCACCTGAAGAGGCTGGTTTAGGGTTTAGGGTTTAGGGTTTAGGGTTTAGGGTTTAGGGTTTAGGGTTTAGGGTTTAGGGTTTAGGGTTTAGGGTTTAGGGTTTGGGCTGCTGTTAAGGAGCGTAAACTACTCTAGACCCAGGAGTACCCTAGGAATAAAAAGGGCACCCTTTTTGGTTTTTAAGGGGAATATAAGGGAACCCCAACCCTAAAAAAAGGAAAACAGGGCCTACTCCCGGTCCTAGTACTTGGGCTACCATAACTTGGGGATATGGAGGTTTGCCATAGTATGAGGCTAAGGTTCCCGGAAGGAGCAGGTATATCAAAATGATATGCTGTCCATGTCCACCTAGTTATAGTTATAAGGTTCCTTAGTAGCAGTCCCGTGGACAGCACAAGACTACATCGGCCGAGGAATGGGATTCGCATGTATGATCCGGGCTGAAACGGAGGCCGAAACACTAGACAACATTTTTTTACATCTGAACGGTAACCAGCCAAGATTGGAACCCTAAACCCTAAACCCTAATCCCAGTTGGAGCAGCTTAGAGCTCCGTGCTCGTACTCGCTCTCGACCAACCTTTATCAAATCCCAAAAGGGAAACCGACCATAGGGTGGCCTACGGTGCTAGAAGAATGGGTAAGGGGAGGGTTTAGGGTTTAGGGTTTGGGGTTTAGGGTTTAGGGCTTAAGGCTTAGGGTCTAGGGGTTTAGGGTATCCCTAAACCTTGGACCTTGAAACCCTTAAATGAAGGGAGGGGCAATAAAGGTGATTTTGTTGCACCAACTCCTGCAGTCCTAGTTGGCAACCCTGCACCTAAACCCAAAATCCCCGAACGCTAAACCCTTCATGCCCCTGAATCCACAAACCTTACACCCCTAAAGCCCTAAACACCTAGCCCCCTGGAGCCCTACACCCAACACCCCGAAAACCCCATTCCCCAACATCTCTGAACCCCAAGCCCTAAACCCCAAACCTCACACCCTAAACCCTAAATCCTAAACCCTAGACCCCACACCCTGAACCCTAAATCCTACTCTCTCTCAGCGCGCTGCCCTCAGCGCCCTTCTCAAGGAGACACTGCTCGACCACGCACGCAGCCCTTTTTTTGGTGCGTCCTCCCGAGGTCAGACAACTTGCCTGCAATCTCGTCCTCTTTGAAGTGTCTGAGGTACGCAGCCCCCTACGGTGTTTCTCAAGTCCGGCTTGGCAATGTGCACAACTTTTGAGGCGCTGTTCCACCTCCTTGCGTGGACCGATGTTCCAAGCCCTCTTCTCACCTCCGAAGCTCGTCTGACTTCTTCAAATTGCGCTCAATCTCTGCTTCCTGCATGTAGCGAAGCTTGTTCGTGGAGCACTTGCCGATGTCAGATGTTGTATCGACCCAGAGCGTTCCCCCTCCAAGGTGTACTTCTCCTTTCAAACCCTGAACCCCACACCCCACACACTAAATGCTCAACCCAAAACTCCACACCCTAAACCCAAAAGCCTAAACTCCACACCCTAAACCCTAAATCCTAACCAAAAAACCCATGCCCTAAACCCCCTAAACCCCCTAAACCCCCTAAACCCCCAGACCCCCCAAACCCCCCAAACCCCCTAAACACCCTAAACCCCCCAAACCACCCAAACCCCCCAAACCCCCCAAACCCCCTAAACCCCCTAAACCCCCTCAACCCCGTAAACCCTCTAAACACCCGAAACCCCCAAACCACCCAACTGAACACCCTAAACCCCCTAAACCCCCAAACCTCCCCCCCTCCGTATCGGGTACTTTTTTGGGAGTTCTACTTTTCAGATCCTCCGACGGGTCTGGGACAGAGGGGCATCATGAGCCCGAAGGTTTGGTGGTGAGGTGATGTTTGCTTATTGGCCGGCGATATGCGCGGGGTCCCCCAGCGTTCGCCCCGGGCTGACTCAAACTAGGGTTTGCGGTGCCTTCACCTGACGTACCTGTTTACGGGGCCAGGGTGCTCCTCGTCCTGGGGATGTTCATCAACTGGTTGATGAGGCACTTACCAAAAAAATCACAACCCGAAGACCATGCCGACAAGACCCGTTGCGCGCCCCCTCCTCCCCCCTTTGCAGGGTTTTGCAATGGAGAACGGAGAAATTGAGCACTGGGACTTGGGTTCCTCGCCCTTTCTAAGGGGGTTTGGGTTCAGGGCTTAGGGTTTACCAACGAAGCGCACGCCTGCTACTAAACATGCAGCATGACGGCATACCTCAAAAGGGCTTAGAGAGCGAACAAGCAGCCTTAAGTCCAAACGCTGCTCAAGGAGTTAGCCTTGTCAAAACCGCACAACAACACTCCTAGCCTTTGGCTCAACCACGCGCAGCATATGCTACAAGTTCAGCAGCTGATCTTGCACAGCACTGCTGTCACCGCCATCGTCAGCATCACCCCAGGTCACAACAGAACCATCGCCCAGAACGGCAGCAAAAGCGTGACCGGTAGCTTGGATCTTTTGCACGCCTTTCAGCTGGTCTTGCACTGCACTGCTATCTGCACCGTACGATGCTTTGCCCCAGGTCACAACAGACCCATCATCCAGAATAGCAGCAAAAGCGGTGCTCGCGGCTTGGATCTGCTGCACGTCCTTCAGCTGATCTTGGACAGCATTGCTGTCGCCGCCATTTTCTGTGCTGCCCCAAGTCACAACAGAACCATCACCCAGAACGGCAGCAAAAGCTGCAAGCGCGGCTTGGATCTGCTGCACGTCCTTCAGCTGATCTTGCACAGCACTGCTGTCGCCGCCGAGAATAGCATCTCCCCAGGTCACAACAGACTTATCTCCCAGAATGGCAGCAAAAGAATGGCCGGTAGCTTGGATCTGCTGCACGTCCTTCAGCTGATCTTGCACTCCACTGCTGTCGCCGCCACTCTCATCGCATCCCCAGGTCACAACCGACCCATCGCCAAGCAAAGCAGCAAAAGCGTACCTGGTAGCTTGGATCCGGCGCACGTCCTTCAGTTGATCTTGCACAGCACTGCTATCGCCGCCATCCACAGCGTCGCCCCAGGTCACAACAGAACCATCACCCAGAACCGCAGAAAAAGCGAGCCTGGCAGCCTGGATCCGGTGCACGTCCTTCAGCAGATCTTGCACTGCACTGCTGTCGCCGCCATTCTCTGCATTGCCCCAGGTCACAACAGAACCATCACCCAGAATAGCAGCAAAAGCTGCGCCCGCGGCTTGGATCTGCTGCACGTCCTTCAGCTGATCTTGCACATCACTGCTGTCGCCGCCATTCCGCGCGCTGCCCCAAGTCACAACAGAACCATCATTCAGAACGGCAGCAAAAGCTTCACTCGCGGCTTGGATCTGCTGCACGTCCTTCAGCTGATCTTGCACAGCACTGCTGTCGCCGCCGAGAATAGCATCTCCCCAGGTCACAACAGACTTATCTCCCAGAATGGCAGCAAAAGAATGGCCGGTAGCTTGGATCTGCTGCACGTCCTTCAGCTGATCTTGCACTGCACTGCTGTCGCCGCCATGCTCATCGCATCCCCAGGTCACAACGGACCCATCGCCAAGCAAAGCAGCAAAAGCACGACTGTTGCCACAGACGTTAACCTCCCCTATCTGCAAAGTCAGCGTCTCGCCACTGCCCAGCCCAGATTCCTCCAGCGTGGCCGCTCCATTCAGGACACCTCCGGAGGAGTCTAAGAGTTTGCCCCTACCAACTGCCAGGCTTCTCTGCGCCCTTCTCCTTAAGGTTTCCACAGACTCATCGGGCCCAGCTTGCAGCGAAACTGCTCTGCCACTTAGCAGGCTCACCTCAATTGCAAGGGGCATGATGCTGCGCATGCACCCCCAGACCCTTAGGCCGCCAGGAGGATCTGGAAAGTAGAGCCCCTCCAGATTTCGGTGTTCTGCTGCTGGGTACGTTGTTTATGATGATTTAGTTCAGGTTTAGGGTTTAGGTTTTAGGGTCAAGGGGTTAGGGGTTAGGGTTTAGGGGTTAGGGTTCAGGGTTTCTAGGGTTTCTAGGGTTTCTAGGGTTTCTAGGGTTTATAGGGTTTAGGACGGTGTTTTGGAGCAATCTACCGTCTACCGTCTACATGAGTCTGCATCCTCCCAAAGGTGGGTTACGCTAAACCCTAAACCCTAAACCCTAAACCCTAAACCCTATTGAGACGCCTGGTGCCACTTTGGATTGATGCTTGCAAGATTTGGAAGAATTCGATTCGAATAGAAGTAAATTCGCCTTGAGCAGCTGAGCAGCTGCCTGGAGGCAGGCCACATTGCGGGTCATTGCTGGCGGGTTCGGCCTTCGTAATGTAAGCAGGCATGTCCCTACAATTACAAACTAGGCATTCGACCGAGAACGATTTGGCTGAACTTCAAAACTGCAGGGCTGGAAGGTTTAAGGCCCCCTGGATCCGACCGTTGAAGCCTAAATTGGGGCCTATAGGGTTTAGGGTTTAGGGTTTTGGGTGTTGGGTTTAGGGGGGCCGAAACCCTTGACCCCACCCCCCCCCCCCCCCCCCCCCCCAAACCCCCTAAACCCCCTAAGCCCTAAACCCTAGTTAAACCCCAAACCCCCTAAACCCTAAACCCGAATTAAACCCTAAGCCCTAAACCCTAAACATCCCCTCAACGACCCTAAAATTGCAGCTCGGCGAGCCTCGGCCTTGGTAGCGCACGGAGATCGGATTCACCCGCGACTGGCACGGTTTGAAGGAGGGCTTGGAGGGTTTAGGGTTTAGGGTTTTGGGTGTAGGTGTTTGGGGGTTAGGGTTTAGGGTTGAGGGTTGAGGGGCTAGGGTTTAGGGTTTAGGGGTTCGGGGTTAGGGTTTAAGGTGTGGGGTTTAGGGTTGGGAGGGTTTGAGGTCTCGGCTTGATTGGGCTTCTGGTGTTTAGGGCTTTGGGATGTCGAGCGTCGCATGGCAAAGCAGGGAGCAGGGACCGAGTCAAACTGGCGGGTGCAAGAGAGCGCCGGGTATTCTGGCAAGCCCAAAACTATGCATCCTCCATCTAAGCCTTAACCCCTAATCCCTAAACCCTATAAGCCCAAGAGCCTGTACTTCAGAACTCTTGTGAAGAAAGTAAGGGATCGTGTTCAGGGGCCATGTCGCCTCCCTTGGAGATACGGAACCTGTGCCAACCCTCTGGGTTTAGGGTTAAGCCCTCATTTTCCATCCCTACACACTGAAGCTGAGTTCAAACCGGGGCCGAAACACCCCTAGCTCCCCATATCCCTAGAGCCCTCAGCTCTAAACCTCAAACCCTAAACCCTGAACCTCAAACCCTAAACCCTAAACCCTAAACCCTAAACCCTGAACCCTGAACCCTGAACCCTAAACCAAAGAAACGGGGGGGGGGGGGGGGGGGGGAGCCTTCTTGCGGGTGCTCTGATCCACGACGACTTCCTGGCAGCTCCAGCGTTGGGCTCGACTTGGCTTTCTAGGCTGCCCAGTAACCAAGGCTTAGGGTTTAGGGTTTAGGGGGTTTAGGGTTTAGGGTTTAGGGTTTAGGTTTTTTTTGCTTAAAGGGGTGTAGAGCGCTTAGGGTTTGGGGGTTGGGGTGCATCGGGTTGGGGAATCATAGGGTTTGTAGGGTTTGGGTTTTTAGAGTCTAGAGGATTTCCCTAAACCCTAAACCCTAAACCCTAAACCCTAAACCCTAAACCCTAAACCCTGTTTCTAGGGCATTGGGGTTTTAAAAAGGCGGCACTGTGGATCTGAACCCTTTGGGGCCTCAGCATTGGAACATTTTGAGGTGCAAAGGTTCAGATTTTGGGCTTTTAGGGTGGTTTAGGGTTTAGGGTTTGGGGTTTAGGGTTTAGGGTTTGGGGTTTAGGGTTTAGGGTTTAGGGTCGGTAAAGGACTTCGTGGAGCAGGGTTTGAGGGTTTGCGGCTTAGCACGCAATGGTGAGCGGAAGGACACCCCAGCCAGAGGCCTGGGAGGACCTAGAATATAAAGCCCTAAACCCTAAACCCTAAACCCTAAACCCTAAACCCTAAACCCTAAATCCTAAATCTAACGTGGGCCGAGGTACGCTATGCTACTGCTAGACAAACGCCGGGGACCTGAATGGCGACGATTTTTCCAGGGTTCAAAGCAGATTGCCCCCGCTGTTTCCGTACCCGGCACATCATTCTGAATTGCAAGGGTATGGAGTTTGCAGGGTTCAGGGCTTAGCGTTTGGGGGCTTGGGTTTAGGGTGTAGGCCTCTGCAACCCACACGAACCTTGTCCAAAGGCTGAGGTGAACATTTGGTGAACACAAGGTTTCACTTGCGCTCAGGGTTCACCAACCCCGAACCCCAAGCCCGAAAACCCCCTTCTTCCGGGACCATAAAGCCCTGACAGTCTACTAGACCCAAGAGTAACCCAAAACTAAAAAACGCTACCATTTCCGGTTTCAAGGGGCTCATAAGGGAAACTAAACCCCAAACAAGGGAACAAGGTCCTACTCTATTCCTAGTCCATGAATCCCCAAGCTCTCTCTGAACCAGACCTTGAAGCAAGAAAACCCTGCAAACCCTAAACCCTCATAGCCCCACAAACCTCAAACCCTAAACTCTAAACCCAATATCACCTCATACACCGGAAATCACCCTAAACCTACATAAAGATAGCCTATTATGTAAGCCTTAAAGCCCTTAACTCTAAAGCCCTAACCCTAAACATTACATAAACTCTATATATATCTCACTCGTTGAAGGTGCACGGACACAGCCAGAGCAGTGCCGCGCGCACAAGGTCTGAGGTTTGGTCAGGGGCCTGGCCGTATTGGCCTCGCCAGATCTGACACCGACCGGATCGGCCGTGTCTTGGTAAACACTGCGAGCCTTGAGCGTGCCTCCATCAAATCAATAGCACTGATCCCCACCAACAAACCATCTTGAGGCGCAGAGACCCGAAGATCCGCCAACGAAATACCCTTGCAACACAAGTCCTGCAGGCTCAAAACTCGCACTACATGTCCTAAAACCTTCCGAAGTAGCCGGAGCTGACAAGCGGCCTTCAAAGGTGCACTGAAAAGAACTGTTGAAGCAGGAACCCAGGCGCCCGTGCTAGGACACTGTACAGGAAACTCAACCCTGGGATTCCCTACCATCAAAAACAGAAGCTCAAGCCAGGAAACTTTACAAGCCATGACCTCAGCTTCGTCCAAACGAATGAGCTCATTCATCAATGCCGTCACGAATGTCGCTGGAACGAATCCAGTAGCTGCCGCTGCTTGAGTATGCCAGTTGACGGGTAGGCGATCTTGAATAGATGCACATCTCAGAAAGTACTGTGGGGCCTGCCCGGCCAATTCAATTGTCTCGTCACCATCATCCGCTACTCGTTGGCAAGGTGGCCGTCCGCCTGTTATTTCTGCTATGGCAAAATAGATATGCCGGAAAGCCCGAATGGCTTTTGCGAAGAACTCATGCCGGCGCAGCGCAGCGTGGTATACTTCCAGGAAATGGACTGACCGATTCTGATTAGCCTGAACAGCTACCCGGTCAGCTCGCGCATTCCAAATAGCTACCCAGTCTTCGAAGGCAGATGTGGTCCGACTAAGATCCAAATGTGAAGGAACATGTTGGACATAAATAGCATCGTGTTCGAAGCTATTGACCATGTCCGACACTCGTCGCCACAAATCATCGTTCTCTGGATCGTCCGGAAGAGGGCTGCCATGCAGTAACTTGTCAATGCCCTGCACCACATGTAGAGCATCACACCAAATGCAGATTGCTACGCCATGTCGCAGTGCCCAGCTCAGGGCGCAGATCACAGCATATAACTCCCCCCGAGGGGCAGTCTGCTGAATGCCCGGAACTTGACCACATCCAATGACTGTGTCTGTGTCAGCCAGCACAGCGCCCCATGCTGCTAAGGCGAAGTCAGGGTGACCGCTCTGGAAGCACGAACCGTCCGTAAATATATGTTGTCTGCCTACATTTACAGGCATGGCGTGTGTGTCCGGTGTTTGATCCGCAATGGCATGCAACAATGCGTGCAGGGCACTTGCGTCTGCATTACTTGGCGGTAGCAAATGATGGGTCAGACAAGTCGGCAAAGTATGCCAAAAGCTGATGGCCCACTCTTGCCCCTCACGAGCTGCTGCATATGCTGGGCACTCACACACCCGATGGAAACGGGTATCAGAGCAACCGCAATGTAAGCATAACCCTGTCAGCGTAGTATCATGCCTGGCATGCTCTGCTCCAAACAACAAGGATCCCGACTGGAGAGCACGCAGGCGGGATAGGTCCAATGCGTGCATGCGCTGCACATCCAGTTGAGCAAGCCCGTGCAGGTCGCGCATGGTTGCCCTGTGAGTGTGCGCATGTCCTATGTGCCTTAACCAAGCCCTCTCCAAGCGTTGGCGCAACAGCGATTTCGGCATGAACAGAAGATTGTGTGTCAAACCCTCATGGTCTACAACCAGCGGCGGAACTGCAATATGCCATTCTATCTGCGAAAGGACCTGCAACAACTTAGAGAATGGTCCATGGTACAACACCCCATCAAAGCTGCGCATGAACTGTTTCCAACTCCCGACCAAATCAGGCTGTCGCCGCAGAATGCGTCGTGCATCCCTGACACAAGCCCACAACTGGTAGAATCCTGGATCAGCCTCCATTGGGGCGGAAAGACTAAGACGAAGACATGGACTAGCCCCAGCTGACGTGACGTGCAGCGCGCGCGCAGCCTGTGTGCGGAGGTTGGTAATGTGGGCAAGTGCTAGTGGGCACCCCGAGACACCATGGAGGGCACGTGCCCACAACTTAGAAGGCAAGATTTGCAACTTGAAAGCAAGTGGACTGCGTGAAAGGGCCAACTTCTTGAATAACGGAGCTAGTGCCTTGCAACGGTCTACTAGCGCCGCATTCCTGGTAGCACTTCCAAAGGATAAAATGCCCCCAAGTTCTCGAGACTGTCTCAAAACTGGGATGCCCAACGCCTTAAGCGAGTTTCTGACACATGCGTGTGAACCCCACACAAAAGTCTTGGCCGGATCTAGCTGAACATCCAGCATGTCCGCCACGCACTGAGTCATCACGATGCCGCTAGCCAGTTGTCCTATGTTGGATGCTGTGTGTGACCAGTTGTCGGCATAACTGACCGCAGAGGCACGCGGCTCATAGTGATGGAGATACAAATGGTATACTAGGTTGGCAACGCACATTGCAAACGGTGACAACGGGCAGCCTTCTGCAAAGCCGCTTGTTGAGGCCAGTGCTTGCCCTACGTGACCTCGGATGAGGAACCTACGGCGAACGCCTGAAAGAAAAGCCCGCCAAGGAACCAAAATACGGTCCGGGACCCCAAGCAAAGCTGCAACTTCAAGCAGGGGAGTTCTAGGAAGCCCATTGAAACATTTGACTATGTCCGTACCGTAGCCGCACAATGGTTGGTCACCCTGGCAAGCCAGTTCAATCATGATCTCCAGTCTATACCACATTTCGGAAGCCTCTCTGCCAGGGATGAATCCGAGCGCAGATTCCGGCATCACTGTCTTGAAATGTTGAAGCAATTGCCTGGCTCGCAGAGAAGACCACGCCCTGTAGACGATGGCAAAGAGGCAAATGGGTCGGTACCCATCAGCGTCTCGCCTCTCGTTTGGCTTGGCCAGGCTGATGACGAAGCCTTGAAGCCACTGATTCGGCCAGTTGAGGTTCCCTTCTTCGATGGCATTGAGCACGGAAAGTAGGCACAAAACAGCTTCGTCTGGCATAGCTACCAGATCCGCCTTGGCAATGCCGTCTGGGCCCCGAGCAGCGCGGGGTTTGAGACGTGCGATAGTGGATCGCCAGTCTTTGAGGCTGATGGGCTGAGCGTGAAAAGGGGCGCTTGGCAAAAACGCCCGAGCAAAACTTACAAGCCTGTTCCAGTCCGGCTGTACATCTGGGCTAGACTTGTTCCATCGCGGCGTCCACGCGGACTGAAACTCGGAAAGAATGTCAGACACGTCATGAAGTACGATGGTTTGTTCAAGTGATGCAAGATCTGGACACAGGGGAACGTCAGGGGGCAAGAGGCAAAGTTGTGGAGTCTGAACACATACCTCAATGTTGACTCCTTCAAAGGACCACGTCGAATGACCCCTCATGTCAGCTGCTTTATCCAAGTGAACTTGCCTTGTGTCCGAGTCACAGGCCACGACCTGAAAACTCTTCTGCAGGACTAAGTGATCAACCTGCGATGGCCGATCATCGCGGAGATCTCTGTACAACAGTTCGCGAGCCTGCTCATATTGCGCCTGCAGCAACTTAGTACGTTGACGAATGTGCCAGGATTCAAAACGCTTGAAATTGGCGTGGAAGTCAGCATACAATTGCTCCGCTAGGTCGAGCCCTGGAAGGGAGTGAGGCAGATGTGCTGGGAGGCCTTGGTGGCGGACAGGACGAGTGCCCCACCAGGCCTGGAAGCCGCGCAGGAACCCTCGACCCTCAAGAATGGCACGCCACAGCTGCAATCGATAGTCTACGGCTGAGGGTCTGTTTGCCCCAGCCCGCAGTGCATGAACTAGGCTCTGCAAGCGACGCAGTTGCTGAAACCAGTACTTGACCTCCAAACAAACCAAACTATGGCTCAAAGAGACCTCCCCTGGGCGGCTGGGCTTGGGCGCTATGCACCGCTGTTGTTCAATGCGCGGCCGCATTCGTTTCGCCCGCCCATGACATCTCCTCGGAAGATGTCCACCGGGGACCCCCGTAATGTGCCCATCGAGGCTCTGCTCGAAAATGTGCGCGAAAGACTTCAACCACGCAGTGGTGTTGCCAGTGCATTCAGGAAAGGTTGGCATTGAATGATGCCACGTCGCATGGTTCACTGATTCCCAGGGAATTTCTGCTGGTAAGGGCCAACTCAAAGCCGCGTGTACACCCATGTCCACGCGAAGAGTGGCGATTAGGGTGTCATGTTCCTGAAAGTGTTGTTGGACCATGACACTATGGAGTAGACAGGCCGCTTCCGGAGAAAGCCAGAGAAAATCACGGATGGTAGCTCCCTTACACGTTGGCATGGGCATTTGGCCCCAGAGCAGTTGCGCCTGCTCCTGAGCCTCTACCCAGCCGCGCTCCCTCCAAATGCGGAGCTGTTCCAGGCGGTCTGCATCCTGGTTGAAATCTCCAGCAATTATCCTTGGACCACGTCCACCGATTACAAGCTCTTGGGTGACCGTTGTGAGAAGCTGGTCAGTTTTTTGGGCAGCATCGGGGCAACCAAAACCCGGCGCAAAGCCGTAAATGTTCGCTGAGATCAGGCAGTGTTGTCCAAGGTAGTGTTGCACCGCTTGGACTCTAGCTGTTTGAAAAGCACCTGCCTGCCACGGCAAAGTCAGGGATCGGGACGGCCAGTCGGAGGTAGTCAAAACCCCACTCCATGACCCAGCCCAGGAACTGTTCGTCCTGACTGGAGCCGGCGCTCCTGCGTGAACTCGAATGTCCCTGTTTTGCGCCGAACCACAAGCGCGTATCGCGCGGGACGCAGAGGGGAGTGAATGCGCCGAGAGCTGTGTCTCGGAGTAGTGGAAAATACCGGGGCCGATATCGACCGCAAGACTTTCTTTACCACGCAATCCGGTAGGATTCGTGGTCCCAACCGCAACGAGATTGTGAGGACCCGGATGACTAGCCTCACCGATCCTCAAACCGGAAATGGGCAAGGTGGAAGCACTAGCTGTTCCTAGAAGTGTCGCGAACGCACAGAGAAGTGCCAAAAAGAAAGGTGGGCGAGCAGACGAAATCGGCATGCGGCGTGGCCCGACACCGCACCCGGAGTGTCCTAGTCACTCATTGCGTTGCTTCTTCACAAGCAGACTCTCAAGCTGCGCAGTTTGACTGGACATTTGCGCCTGGAGTTGCTCTCCCAATTGCAAACCTAGCGCCGCAACTGCCTGCTGGACTGCCTGTCCAACACCGTCAACAGAGCGTCCAACCTCTACCTGAACTTGGGCGAGTTGCTGTTGTTGGCCATCCAAGGTACTGGCAACTTGCTGGACCTGTGTGTTTGTGGCTTCAAGCGTGGCCGCAACTTGTTGGACCTGGGTGGTAGTGGCTGTGACTTTGTTTCCAAACTCCTGGAACCAACCCTCAAACTTCTGGTTTTGGCGCTGCAGTTCGCTAACGCTCTGTTCCAAACGCAGCAGGCGCTTGTCGTGCACCCCTTGTTGCTGGGCCTCTGCCCCGGCAACCGACTGGACCTGTTGAGTGACAGCCTCGTGGACTTGGCTGGTTAGCTCCGAGCGGAGCTGGTCCAGCTTCTTCTCTGCGCTTGACGAGATGGCCGGGCTTGGTAAGCCTGGAGGCGGACGGGGGCATGTGCTGGACGTAGCCTGGCTCCACGGGTCCCTGCCATTGGCCCAGGGGTCTGCCTCATTTGTGGGACCTTCGCCATCGTCATATATGATGGCCCGCTTCGTGCGGCGGGAAGCAGTGACTGGTATCGGCCTTTCACCAGTGGCAGGGCCCTTCAGACGGGTCAAGATTGCGAAGCTGTCGCCAACTGGAAGGGCTTGAGCAGGAGGGTCGTCAGCAGATCCGATGTCCCAGGCGCTGCCTTGAGCATCACCTCTGGCGGGCTGAAGCGGACGAGCCTTCCAGTCCCACTTGCGGAGGAGCTGTTGCATGTGGTGGCGTTGTATCCCCCTTGGCAGTGGGTACACCCGCCATTTCTGGACAACCTTTATCTGGACAAATTCCTGGCCAGGGCGGTGCGCAGCGAACACTGCACCTTCGTCACTTTCACGGACCCTCAAGCCGAATTTCTTACCTAGCCTGGCAACGGCTATGGCTTTGCCACAGGTTTTGAGAGCATGCGAAGCTGCTTGTCGATCTGCGTTTGGCAACCACACTACAGAGTAGACCTCACTTGGCGAAAACCCATCGCTGGAACGAGGTTCGCAGTACACACCTTGTACGCCCAAGCGGAGACAGTGTTTCAAGGCAGAAGTGGGAATGCGGAACAACGCGTGGAACGCAGCAGCTGTGCCAGGATCTGCACGACCCCCTTCAAGCCTAGCCCACTGTCGAGCCCACACGTCCAGGAACAACTGATCCAAGGTCTCATCAACAGGCGCGTGAAAGCACGGGCAGTCACCCCTGCAAGAGCCATCCCGACATAAAGTAAGACCTGGTACCTTGGCAAGCAAAGCACGAATCGGTGCAGGACAGAACTCCTCCCATGGAATGCCCACTTCGTCACGGTAAACTGAGATGCGGATGGTGGACGTAGGCAGCTGCTCGACATCTGCAATGTCTTGCCTGGCCAAATCAACCTCTTCATCTCCCAATTGGAGGAGAGTGCCGGAAAGAAGCACTGGCTCATTGGTGGGTGCATAGATGGCAGGAAAGCGAATGTTACGTGCTGGTACACCTGCAATAGCTTCAGATGGAAGTTCCGAAGTAGAAATCAGGCCAAGCGCATCAACGGAAAGGGACTTAAAGCTCTGAATGTATGGCAGCATCTGCTGCGCACAACAAAAGGCAACCCCCGTGGCTTGACTACCAACTTCGGAAATGGCAAGTTGGCCAAGTGGCGAGTTCTCTGGGCCAACAAAAGAACCTTGAGCAAGTAGCAGGTGGGCCGGATCAACTTGCAGGACTGGAACATCTGGCCTGGGCCGTTTGGCCTTCTGCTTTTTGCGCTTGGCGTCCTGCACGGCAGCCCCAAACTTGCTTGCTGCCTTTGCCTCAACTTGCGCTGCCAACTCTTCGGGCTTGATGTAGCGAAAGTTGGCTCCCGGTTGGGACGCTGCTGACTTGAGGGCCATCCAGGGGTTGGCGGCGCTCAGGCACTTGGCTAATGGCCCTGGACCGACCTTGGCCACTGCTGCCTGCACACGAGAGTGCACCTGATCGGCGGGAACGCCTTTCTCTAGCAGTAGCTCCTTTAGTTTAGTCTCTTGCTCCTAAACTCTATATACACCTCAACGAAAATGGGCCCATGATCTACCCCCATAAACCTTAGAGCCCCAAATGCCCCAACGACCCAGATGCGCCGAGACAAGGGCCTCCAACTTTTGAAAGGCTTCGCGATACCGCTCCTTAAGTGGGCGCTTTGAGGTAGGGTTTAGGGTTTCGGGTTTGGAGTTTAGGCAGAGTGTAGGGTTACGGTTTAGGACTTAGGGTCGGGATTCTGGTTGAGCTACTTCGCATAGGGGGGTCGAGGACGGTTTAGGGTTCGCACTTCAAAGGTTCTTGTTGAGCTCTGTCTGTCGGGTTTGGGGTTTAGGGCCTTTGAGCACCAAGAGCTATGGGGAGTCTGAGTGAGCTAAACCCTAAACCCTAAACCCTAAACCCTAAACCCTAAACCCTAAACCCTAAACCCTAAACCCTAAACCCATCAAGGACCCAGGGCGTTGACTTGGAAGATGTTGCCGGCGATTCTCCCGAAAAGCCTACCGGGCCCACCACCCTTCAACTTGGCTGCCCTTAGTAGGGTAGCTATAAGGGTTTAGGGTTTAGGGTTTAGGGTTTAAGGTTTAGGGTTTAGGGTTTAGGGTTTAAACTTTAGGCTAAGGATCTAAAGTTACAGTAAAGCACCACCAAAGTTAAGAGATGTTTTGTTTGGGGCTTAGAGTTTAGGGCAGTTTAGGGTGTAGGGTGCCAGGAAATCTGGCCCTCCAGAAAAGACTCTGCCCACTTGGACCCGCATGCATAACGAGATGCTTCCATCCGGAGAGGATCTATTTGCTACTATTTGCTTAAGAACCCCAAAAGAATAATTAAAAAACACGATCCCTACATTACCCTTAAGCAGGAAGATTAATGTTTGTGTTTTCGGGGGATTCCTAAGCAACTAGTAGGGGTACCCAGAAACCCTGTGGCTTTTATCGGTGAAGGCCTTCGCTACCCCTAGGCTTCCTAGATGCCCCAAAGCCCTAAAGCCCTTTAAACCTGCCCAAACACCTAAACCCACAAAAGCCTAAAAGCCCCAACAACCCGCCCAAAGCCCCCCAAACCCTAGAAAGCCCCTAGAAAAGACCTAGCAAAAACCTTCGAAACATCCTAGAACCCGAATTAAACGCCCAAAAGCCCCAAAGCCCCATAATTAACCCTAAAACCTTCAAAACCTCAAGGGCCCATGACACCGAAATCCTGGAAGCACCCAAAGCTCTCCATAATTCACCCTAAACCCTAAACCCTAAACCCCAAAACCCTACATCCCACCAACTCGCCCAGCTTCGTGGAGAGTCTCACTGCCTTCGGACCCCAGCGCTTTGGGAATTGCCGGCACCGTTGCAACCTCAGGCTGAGAAAGCTTTCGGAGGACTTTAACCAACGACCCTTACACCCCCTTTGTTCGCATGTAAGGTTTAAAGAGGGTTTATACTTAGAGGATCAGGGGACTTTGTAAGTGGGGTTACAAGTAAGGAGACCATACCTAGAACTCCTTTTGTATCCCCCAATGAGGGTACCCCGATCCTGCAACCCTAAACCCTAAACCCTAAACCCTGAACCCTGAACCCTGAACCCCTGAACCCTAAACCCTAGACCCTAGACCCTAGACCCTAAACCCTAAACCCTAAACCCTAAACCCTGCTCAAGTAGGGTTTAGAGGAGGAGGAGGATGGCCCGCCAAAACCCTACATCCTTAAATCCTAAACCCGAAATACCTTGAATCCTAAACCCTAAAAGCCCTAAACCTAACAGTCCCAAAACCCTAAAAAACTGCAATAAGAGGATCCCCCGCCCAAAAAAAAAAAGGAAGTCGGGCTGCAAAACACTAAACCCCAAACCCCAAACCCTAAACCCTCAACCCCAAACCCCAAACCCTAAACCCTAAACCCCAAACCCCAAACCCCAAACCCTAAACCCCAAAAAATGGAAGTCTGGAAGTCGGGCTGCTAAGTGCGTCATCACGGGCTTGAGGCGGCGAAGACCGGCCTCGAGCTGCTCCTGCGCCTGGTTCGGGAGCTGTTTGAGGGTTTAGGGCTTCATAGGGTTTAGGGTTTAGGGTTTAGGGTTTAGGGTTTAGGGTTTAGGGTTTAGGGTTCAGAAGCCGAAACTGTCCCGGACCGCGTCTAGGCGCGGCTTAGGCTATTTCATTAGGGAAGGCTTCAAGGACCTGCCTGTTCACAGAACACTACGGGTCCATATACCTCATTGTTATGTACTTGGGCCCCAAAGTCCCTACATAGGAGGTACTTTAGAGGGTTTTTAAAAACCCTCTTTTTAAAAACCCTAAACCTTATTTTTCGCCCCAAAGCCCCTATGGTTGGAGGTACTTTAAGGCCCATGTATTCCCTATTTAGGTACATGGACATTTGGGGGAAGTTTGTGACACACTCTTCTCATCAAGCTGCAGGCTGTTTCGCCAAGCCCTCACTAAACGCCAAGAACCTCCAAGGAGGAGCCACCCCCCCCCTAAAAAATACGTAGAGTTATAAGGACTCTAAAGTGGGTTATAACTTAGGTTCTAAGTCCCTGAGCTATTTTTTTTGTGTGGTATGGGGGCCCCCTCCTAGAACAAAAATAGTACCACTGGGGGGGGAGGGGAGGGGGGGCGGAGCGCCCCGAACTCACAACCATCACATCCCACCGACCCAGGGAAGACTCTAAACCCTAAACCCTAAGCCCTAAGCCTAAGCCCTATAAACCCTAAACCCTAAACCCTAAACCCACGGAAGACTGGCCTTCTGAACGAACTGGACCAAGTCCTTCCGCGCCAGCCGGATTTCAGCCGCCATCTGACAGCAATCTCAGGACTACTGGGATTTGGAGTACTACTTTGAACCTTACAAAACTCTGACACATGCACAAAGCCCCAAGACCACCAAGTCCATAAACCTAACTATTCAGGTTTCGCTATTGGACCCATGACAGGCTTTGAGCTACTTAGCAACAAGTACTGGGCTTGGGGTTCACTTCGGTTCAGTGTGTAGGACGTAGGGGTTCAGGATTACTTGGAGGTTCATGGTACTTAATAACCCAATTATAACCGCACTGATAGCCCAATTGTATCCATGTTGGGACAATTAAATTCTAAAGCGCTTATAAGTGGGGTATCAGTACAGTTATAATTGGGTTATTCATTGCCATGAACCTCCAAGCAGGGGATGAGGTTTCGTCCCGTGCCCGCCTTTGGCCCGTAGCGCGATGCGTCGACGGCGTCCACCTGCTCCTGACACGCAATGCTGGGTTTAGGGTTTAGGGTTCGGGTTTAAGGTTTAGGGTTTAGGGTTTTAAGTAGTCCTTCGGGTTTACTTGGAGGTTCAGGGTGCTTATGACCCAGCAAGAACTGTACTTACAAAAAAGCCCCTGAAGTGCCCGAGTATAGTTCTAATTGGGTTATAAGTACAGGGATGATTGGGTTCTTACGTACCCTGAACCTCTAAGAAGGGTTAACTAACTTGCTTCTTAAACATGTCTCCTTCTCAGGGTTACTGTGACATTGCGGAGCCTTGTATGTAGGGTGCTGACCTTGCTGAACAATTAAGATCAACACTCTTAGCCCTCAAAACCCCTCTCCACCTCCCACAACTTGTGAGACCTTACCTAAACACTAAACTCTAAAAAGCATAGCTTGCAGAGACCCTCGGCCCAACCTGAACCCCACAGGATGGGCGCTACATCAGCGCCAGAAAGGGCCACCACCATGGAAGAAAATTCCCAAGTGTAGCCGGAACAAAGGTGCCAACATGGGCATTGTGCATTTTAGGGTTTAGGGTTGAGGGTTTAGGGTTTAGGGTTTAGGGATAGGGTTTAGGGTTGAGGGTCTGGGGGGTATGGGGGAGGGGTATGGGGAGGACTGTCATCAAGCTGATGGGCCCATCCCATTTTGAGCACCCAAAATTAAAACCCTAAACCCAGAACCCTAAACCCTAAACCCTCAGAGAAAGCACTTGCTGGCGAGCTGCCACATTTTTCTGCAGGTCCTCCAGCGCACCTCCCAGCGGTCTCAGTGTTCAGGGTTCAGGGTTTAGGGTTTAGGGATTAGGGTTTAGGGCTCTGCACTCCAACCCTAAAACACCTTTGAGAGTTTAGTCAAGGAAGTCACACTCGGCTAAGGATGTACTCCAAGGTCCTCCCTAATATACTCTTACTACCCCTAAACCCTAAACCCTAAACCCTAAACCCTAAACCCTAAACCCTAAAACCCTAAAACTACAACCCTAAACCCTAAACCCTAAACCCTAAACCCTACACCCTAAACCCTAAACCCTAAACCCTAAACCTAAGAGGATCTTAAAAAAGGGGCCCCCAAACCCAAGGGCACAACCTTAGGCTTGGGGGCACGAGGAAGAGTCCCATGACTTGGGGTTTAGGGTTTAGGGTTTAGGGTTTAGGGTTTAGGGTTTAGGGTTTAGGGTTTTAGGGAAGTCGGGTGCAGGCTTTGAACCCGTTAACCCTAACCCTGAGAACCTCTTGGGGGTACGTAGTTACATGGTCCCTTAGTATGGGCCTTTAAAAGGGGACCCCTTATAAACCCCTTATATACTCTATACAGCCCAAAGGCCCCTTTTATATCCCCATAATACGCTTTAATCCTTGTAGAGGAGCCCTCAGAAGGGGGAAACTCGCATATTCAGGGACTATGTAACTACCCTTAGAGAACCTTGAATCCCCAACACCTCAACCTTTGAAGCCGGCCGTGCCATCTTGGCTAAAGGCCGCGTGGAGTAGCACCAAGCACTAATCAGGAAGATCCCCTAAACCCCAAACCCCAAACCCGTAAAACCAAAACCCTAAGCCCAACCCCCTCTACTGCTTGTGGCCTTGTGAACGTCATGACCTGTCGGTGGCCCCTAAACTCTAAGCCCTGCTGAAACTGGAAAGATTCAGGACCTTAGATAGTCTGAGTAACTCCGTATCCATATTAAACTAAGGGTTTAGGGTTTACAGCTTAAGGGTTCAGGGGTTAAGGGTTCGGGTACCCTTCTTGGAGTTGGTTACTTCTCGTGCCTCGTACTCGCTGCTCGGCTTGCTTCGCAAGCTTCAGCCATATTCGGGCCTGCGCAGCAATGTTTCCCAGCTTCCTTCTAGGGTAGGCCAACGCCCCCCAGGGCTCCTTCAAAACAACTGCAGCTTCCGCGCCTGACCTGCATCGGCCCCCTAAACCCTAAACCCTAAACCCTAAACCCTAAACCCTAAACCCTAAACCCTAAACCCTAAACCCTAAACCCTAAGCTTCCCCAAACTCCCTACCCCCAAACTACATAGCTGCATGACAACTTAGCAAAGGACTATGATATTTGGTAGCGTTTTGGGCTCCTCTACTGCCTGCTCCCAAGTCGGTCACTGCAGAAGACTGTCCCTTTCATAGGGCTTTCGGCAGCCGAGCAAGACGATACTCCCCTTAGAACCTTATAAAAATAATAATTGTAATATCCTCTTGGCTTTTATATTTAAAAAGTTAAACCAAAATAAGAAATTACTTGCCAAGGGGGATATAGAAGACCCGAAGGGTGGAGTTGTGCAGATGTCTGCACGGTGGTCACGGTCGAATATGGGTTTGCGGCGGAGGCCTTCAAAGTCAGCCTCGAAAGCTTGCCGTACACATACCCTAAACCCTAAACCCTAAACCCTAAACTCTAAACCCCGTGCAGCCCAAACTTCATCCGCTGGAAAGTTGTCGGATGTCGAATCTCGCTGAATGAACCCCAAACCCTAAACCCCACATTTTGCAGCCTAAACCCCAAACACGACACCCTATCGGGGACTTAACAAGTAACTTTAAGAAGGGTTCTTAAGTGGGATAACTCTAAACTACCAACTCTAAACCCCAAACCCTAAACCCTACACACCTCAAACCCTTGGGCGGGGGGGGAGAGGAGAGGGGGACAGCCTCCTCACCCATGGCCCGGCGGCCGCCAGTTGGCGCTACCACGGAGCCCAACAAGGCGAGGGCTTCACTGCCTCAGGGGGTCTTGGGCTTTTTTTTTTTACGGGCTTCGGAGAGGTTTAGGGTTTAGGGTTGAGGGTTTAGGGTTTAGGGTTTGGGGTTTGGGGTTTAGGGTTTAGGGTTTGGGGTTTGGGGTTTGGGGTTTGGGGTTTGGGGTTTGGGGTTTGGGGTTTGGGGCTCGAAGGTGTAAAGGCGTAAAAGGCTCTAAGGGCTTTAGAGGGGTTTAGAGGGGTTCAAAGAGTTTTTTCAAGGTTTTAGGGGGGCTTTGAGGATGCCAAGGGTTTGTAAGGTTTTGGGGTGCGGGGTATTTAGGGCTTCGGGTTTGAAGGCTTTAGGATTCAACCCCAGACCCTGAAAGTCCAACCGCCCTTCAGAGGGAAAAGGGCTTTGTTGAAGGAAGCTACATGTAGCTGGGAACGGTGGGAGATGTAACTTGGGATGTTCCCCCTTATCAGTCCTTATTAATAGGGATTATTGTACCCCTCTCTTCTCTTACGATCCCTATTAAGGACTGTTAGTACAAGGGGGAACAGCTCATCATGTCACCGAATTCTGTGGGACACCGTCAAGTTCGCGCCCATCTTAAGACCTCCTTGAGTTCCTTCACGACGGAGGAGACCCTCCGGCAAGTCTAAACCCTAAGCCCTAAGCCCCAAACCCTAAGCCATAAACCGTAAACCCGACAACCCTGCAACCCTACAACCCCAAACCGCCAGAGTTCTAATCAGCTCAAACGCCAGAGTTCTCACGAACTCAATCTTAGGCCCTGCATTTTATCTGGGTTTCAGGGTTTTCGGGCTTGAGGGTGCATGCAGGAGCTTCTCTAAATTGCGAGCCCTCTTCTTCGGGCACTCAAAAAGAAGGCTCCGTAGTATACTAGGAAACCCCCTCCCAAAAAACCCTAATTTAGGTAACCCCCCCCCCTCCATATATCTAGGTGCCCCTAAGCACTAAACCCTAAACCCCAGAGTTTGGGGGTGAATACATCTAGGGATGCTATAGTACCTCAATGGAGCCCAGAGCGAAAATCCACCGTAAACCCTAAACCCTAAACCCTAAACCCTAAACCCTAAACCCTAAACCCTAAACCCTAAACCCTAAACCCTAAACCCTAAACCCTACCGGGCCCCCCCCCTCGGGGCTTGGGGTCAGGGCCGGTCCGTATGAGCTCGCGCACGTTGCCAAGCCTATGGGCCGCATCGGGTTTAGGGTTTAGGGTTTAGGGTTTAGGGTTCAGGGTTTAGGGCAACTTCTTACTGTCTTGCTACAAGCGAAGTAAGGATTTCGGAGGTTTGGTGCCATGTTTCCCTCTATAGAACACCCAATTCCCTGAGTCCACCTACCCGTAGAACAAGCAGGATAGTGGTGTTTGTAGTTCCGAGTCGATAAGGCAAACACAGCTGTACCTAGAGTAGCCCCATTAGCAGGGGGGGGAGACATCTACCCATAGGTAAGGTCAGTTGTTAGGCTAATTACTCGAAACCCTACTACAGCAAACGCTCAAGACCCGCTAAGCCTCAAGCCGAAACCTGAAACAAAAACCCTAAACCCTAAACCCTGAACCCTGAAACCTAAACCCTAAACCCTAAGCCCTAAACCCTAAACCCTAAACCCTAAGCCCTACGTGTGGAATTGATCGCGCGCTTACCAGCTCTTGCTTGTCCGTTAAAAAACCCTACGTGTCATGATGCTTCTGCCAAGTCGCACGCGGTGGATGGTTCCATGGTCACTGGCCATGCCAACGAGTGTCAGCGAGCCGTCGTCTTCGATGGCACCTGGGAGAGTTTTGAGCTTTTAATGGGTCGAGGATGTATAGGGTTTAGGGTTTAGGGTTTAGGGCTTAGG